GTAGGTTTTTACTACTCGCAAGGAGTTGGAGATGGAATCCGAAACGATGGATGCGACGAATCCGATGAAGGCGAGACGGAGCAGCCATACGAAGATGGACTGTTTGGGGGGCTCGGGGATGGTTTCTGAGAGGAAGTTATACTGCCGGTAGACGCATGCAGTAAGTAAGATGCAAGCTGATGTGTGATGATTAGATCAAGAGGATGGCGGGCATAGACTTACGGTAGCAAACCAAGGATAATGCCCCACGAACGTGCAGCCGCGGTGGCAAAGGCACCCCACCACAGACTGCCTACTCCATGCATCTTGATACGCTGACGAAGCACGGCGGTCCCGCCTGCACCTTGCACCTGGAGGGTCGTCTTTAGAGTATCGACAGGTGTGAGGATCATCCGGAAAGCGGCAGCGCTTGGAAAGAGCCAGGTTAGCTTAGGAATGGATGGGTCGTGTTATGTGAGGCCCCTTACCATAATGAAGCGAAGATGGTCTTGATAGGTGAAGGTAGGTCTTTCAAGTAAGAGTTTGATTGGAGCAACGCGAGGATCCCGGCATTAGCTGCCGTGTCTCCGAATCTCGAGACCGGCCCTACACAGTTAGAATCATATAGTAAAATTGAAATGAGTTGATAAAGCTCTTACCTTGGACAAGTGCAGCACCGATACCTTGATAGTATCGCCGGAGACCACCGTCTTGGTAAAGTGTCTTTGTCGCGGAGGCGAAGGAATTCCCAAAACGGTATTGGTAGTTCATGATTGTTCGAAGCGGCTGAAGAATGCTCAGTCCCAATATCAAACATAGAAGAATAGAAACACCATTACCATCAAAAGTAGAACTTGCAGGACCATAGCCGCAGCACCACTTAGACCTCCTCCAAGAGCTCGCTTGAGCGCGGCTTTCAAATCAAACTATAGTATAAAAGTTAGCTAGCTAGACAGATATGATAAATAAAAGCTCTGATTGGAACCCACGTCAACATCTCCACCCGAGTCTACCCAGCCTTTGATGAAAGCAGCAAGAATCAGGGCCGCAGCGATAGTCCAGAATGCTCTCCAGACATACCAGCTAGCCCGCCTCACCTTCTGCTCGGGCTCTGGTTCCGGCTCAGTTTCGTCGGATTGGTGATCGGATTGGTGGTCATTAAGTAGCGGTGTCTGTTCATTATGAATGATTGTTTGACTCTCTGCATCAGCGTTATTTTGAGCCATGATATTGATGTTGATGGTGTTGAAGTGTCGTTGAGCGCTCATCATTTATTGGGGTAACAGGGTGATCAATTACTAAACACCTAATACGGATGGCGTGCGCCATTCGGTCCACTTTTGAATTATCTCCGACAGATCCGTGCTCCGTCCTGTACTACGGTACGGTACGCCCCGGGCAGTAATCGCGAAAACCAAGTGTTTTATCGAGAGCTGAGAAGAATAAGAATCTATTCTTAAAAGACGTAGTAGATGAATCTGAAGGATAAGTAATTGTGGATTTTGAGCGTATGAAGACAAAGAGTCTGCTACAGCCCCTTTATGAATCAAGAACCCCATATTGAGTTATCAATCTTTAGACAGTGTTCATAAACACATCTCTATATCGTACATAGGGTCCCATTGAAAATCCCGAGATATGCAATATGTCGCGTCTCCCCAAGTTCCACACAGCTACGAAGTACCGCCAACAGGCAGAATAGCAAGGACATTACCCACCTAAAGCTGACACCTCCGGAATCAGTGGTGGCACAACATATAGGAGAGATGAGAGGAGAAGACAACCTGGTGAACGGCCAACGCACTTGCCTGATTTGCTCTGTCTCGAATTCCACTGGAGAGAACAGGTTGCAAACTCGACGCGAGACCAGTATGCAACCAAATATACACAAGAGGACAGGCAGACTATGGATTACAGAATATTCCGCATAAATATAAGGATATTTCATACAAGTATCAGTTTTGGGTATTCCCACCTAGCGCCACTACCTATGCAGGGTATATCGTAGACAAACGCCGACCAGACGCAACAAGTAACTCCAACCTACCAGAAGAAACCAACAATTTATACCCAAATTTAATCCAGAATGCCAACTACCATAGATAGCCACGACAGTTGTCCGATCCACACAGACACTTCGTCATCTCCTTTTTCTTCCTGCGATCCCTCTTCTCCTCCTCCAGCTTCTCATCTTCCCCATCCACATAATCAAAAGTCAGCTCCGTACCAGCCGGGATATCCTTGACGGCGAAGAAAGCCAGATCATGGAATCGCTTCAAGGCATGAGGTCCGACACGGGCGAAGATCCGCAAATTCGGGTCGCAGGAATGGTTGATGAACCGAGTTGGGCCAGAGCGGAACTCGCCATCTACAAAGACGGTATCGGCAAGTGATGGGTCTCGATCTGCGTCGCCCTTGAATTTATCCAGTTCGAAGAGGTATACGTCCTTCTTCTGCGCAACGTCCGAAAGTTGGCGTCGGCGCTCTGTCTCTTCCGCCGTAATGATTTCACCAACGTATTTGTCTACGAACTGGCCTTTACTTATGTATTCCTTCGACCGTACTCCTATGCAGACATATACGTTAGCCTGGTAGCAAGCAAAACTAGAGTGTAGAAACGTACCCCAACCACGGTTATCTTCAGTCCGGAAGATCTGCAATGTGATCTTGCGACCCCTCTCCACGACCCTATTCGGACAATTCTCACCACAGTAACATTTATCATGACATTCGTAGATAGGCTCCCGCGTATCCAGGTAATCTGCTCTCAACGTATCCTTCCCACCCTTCGACTCGTACACGTATTTGTCTTCGTCCGTCTCGTCTAGAACCGTCATGTCCTGCAGACAGGAACATTCATCAGATTTGCACGTATCATGGTCTGTACATTCGCAGCCAACGCAGAACTCGGGATCCGGGAGCTCGATGCCTTTGCCTGGCTCGCAGTTCTCGATTAATACGAAGTCGCGCGGGATGAAATCGCTGTCGACGTCATTGACGATAGCTACGGGGAAGGTTTTGCTGGTCGAAAATGCGCGTAATTGGCACCAATGGCATTTGGCCTTCTCGTTTTTGAGGTCCTGAGAGAGGTTAGTAACCCGTTGAGAGGGGCGTGTCAAGAGCGACGCGCCGAGTGGAAAACCAAGAAGATAATTTGATAAAAGACAACAGTTACTTACAGGCCGATTCGGTTTTCCATGGCTCTTGTAGTGTATTTTGAAGAGATACTCCGTATCCATCTTGTTGTAGAGCAGATTCTATGCCTCAACGTGCTTCGGGATGTCATACTGTGCAAAGTGTAAGGCTGAAAGAAACTAGCTCAACTGCTTCGCGTAAAACTGATTCTCTGTGCAAGCCCCACCCCTCAACCAACCCCAACCTAGGTAGGTATCCTTCGAATATGTAAATCATCACTAAAACGGGATTGTTACGACTCGCAAACAATAGACAAGTCAGAGAACTAGCTATCAGCTAGCTGAGCTCTATTGTCAGGCGTAGTTAACTTGGCGCCGGCAGACATGATGACCTTCGTGCGCAGATCCGAGCAACTCTCCATAATACTCAATAATTCATCTCACTAGCATGCAGGCACTCATAAAGAAGAGCGATGGAACAAGTGTTAGAGTGGAGAAGCTTACTCTCGAAGTTGAGTCTACAGCGGTATCCAACAGCGAATACGCTTCTGCCAAGTTTGTCGAATTTGGAACCCCCTAGTTTTGAATTTCCGTGTCCATTTGCTTGCTTGCTTTCTAGTGATGTGTTCTGCATGAAGTTATGAGCCGAACGAGAGATTTTGTCAATAATCTCCTATTTTCATGTGTTCTTTCGCACAAAAATTTGATGAAAGTAGAGAGTGGATCACGCTGAGTTGGGTCGTTTTCTGCCTCTGGTGCTGCTCACTGAACAGGCCAGAGTCGCGCCCACTGCACTAGTGGAGGGAAGGGAGGAAGAGGGGATGGAGCGGACCGATGATGGCATTGGATTGCCACTACAATCACTTCATGTTGAGCGACTGCTCTTGATGGTATGCCAATGATGGGTTGTGGAGTTGATGGATGAAGGTATTGAGGCTGCGACGCGACTGGCGACGACGAGCACACCTTGGAGCGACAACAATGAGATGCGACATTTTCGGGAAAATAAGGCGAGAGAAAGAATGAGCGTACCTTTTAGATGCATGATCCGATGGAACATTGATGGAAGATGTGGTGTTGTGGTGGTGGTTAATGAAAATGGTCGTGGTTGATGATGTTTGATGTGAAGAAAGGATGGAGGAAAGCAGTGAAAGATGGGCGGCTGGTTGTTCTTATACCCTCCGTACAGGTACCTAGGTAATTAGTGACTACGGTAGCGTCCAAGGTTGATGGCCACGAATACGGTAGTTTGTTGACATCGGCGCCAATTTAGGGCGACAGCAAGGTAGGTCGATTGCTATCGGCTGATCGAGATTCCGCCAACAAAGCCTCTAGGCCTTCAAGCCACGTGCCCTATATCGGAGTACATACCGTACATGTGGCTTCAGTTTCAAAGGCGATATCAAAATGTTCAATTGTGGGCGAAGCGTGAGTCGTATTCACGTCTAGGATGGTCCGTTTGGATGTCCTCATTCATCCAACTCATGCCGTTGACTGGGTGTTTAAGATCTCCTCGTTGGATACCTGATAACATTTGTGGACTCGCATATTGTGCCTAACAATTTCATGCCGCCCATAAAGTCTCGACATACAATAAACCACCACTACTCAAAAGCAACTCCCTTCCAAAACTTATTTGGCATGACCAGCGGCTCTTGGAGTTTGAGGGAACGAAGGTCAGATTCTTGATGCTAGCTGAATATCTAGACATCAACTGGAGAATTCGGGGTTTTTCATTTCACTCTCCAGATATACAATTGATCATAGAACTCTCAATCTTTTCAGGAGCATGAAATATCTTCACTGCCAGTTCAGTAGAATAGATTGTATTCACACTCTTCCAAGTTGGGCGATTGGGGCTAGTCTCAGGAAATTCGCAGGGGATAAAAGTTTGTTGGGCATGGGGTCGACGGTAAGCTTTTTAATGATTTTGGGAAGTTGCGTATGCGATGCAACGCCTCGCAATCTAGATATGTCGCCATCGTATCTTTGGCACAACGCAGCTATGCCAATTCACTGCGAGTTACAATACAAGTTCACGATCCCTCGAGCTTTCAACATGCAAGCGCCTCACACTCCAAAGCGAAAAATACGCAAGCCTCTACTGTGTACGCACCTCCGATCTTTCGAACAGGTTTCAATCGACAACTCTGTGCGATGGGGGCCCTCATAAGCAAGCTCTTCGGTACGGACAAGTACAGACGCCCAAAGCGAGTCGTACACTTTGTTTCTGAACGAGACATCGCTTTCTCCACCGATGGCTCCGACGAGAGGGTAATCAAGGTCACCAGGGTGGTCGATGTCTGTTCTCAGACGGCAGCGGTGGATGAGACAGAAGCATTGGAACGGGAGCTTATTGGGGCGACATGGGATATGGTAGGTTTCCAGCTGTCTTGGAGCCTTGACCGTCTTTTTTGCAAGTGAATGTTAACACTTTAAGTCTTGAGAACTAATTGCCGAAGATCGATATATACGACTGCCAGCTTCTCTATATATTCGGGGGCATATATAGGCTTGGTCTTGTCTGGTAAGGTAAGCGATTCAGCTACCAACTGGTCTCCCGCTTCCATACCTGACTGACAAAGCTGGACGAACATGAAAGAGGACTGAGGAGCAAAAGCGACATGGGAATCGGATGATGGGACAGGCATTTTTCGGGACCCGGCATTTGGACACTGAGCCTTGCTTGATTGATGGCACATGGCATAGAAATTGGAAAATAATTGTACATATTACCCACACAACTCATCAGACAACTCCATATCCATGCCCAGATGTTGCCCAACTTGCCCCCTCACCTCCCGTCCCGCCCCCTTTCAGCTGCGCCACCTCCCTCCTCGTCTAACGTCGAGTAATCCACATCTAGCGCTAATATTCCCTGTTCTTGCGAGGATTCATGCAACATGACGCAAAGCACCAGCCACACAGTATCTTCTGTACTTGTCTTATATGCTTCCCCTCCATTCCCAGTATTCCTCCTTTTATGATTCCATTTCTTTCATCCCACAAATAAGTTCAACCAATTGCTTATTCACGGGAATTTCGAACAATTGAGCAAGATGGGCCTTTTCAAAAGTAAAGACAAGACTCGTGCCGAGCTTCCCAACGCCACTACTACCCCGCAGTCTTCAAACTACAATAGAGATCACGATTCAACATACTATTCGAGTAGCAATGTATCAAACGCTGATACAAACCCTCGAACTCATCAGCCGCCCCCTCAGCCTCGAGGCCGAGCACCGGGAACTACCGTGGTTACAACGACCACAACTACAACCAGTAAGTCGCATTGTTATTGATTATAGGATCTCAAGCTGATGGCAAAAAAGCAACCACCACTGTAGGGGCAGACGGTGAAACGTATACTACGTCCCAGCCCTACAATCCAAGTACCGATCCTCCTCAGCAGTCTGAGACGACGGTCAATCAGAATGCCAATCCGCCAGTTGCAGACACTCCGCAACCTACAGTACAAAGCCAAGCGCCGCCACAAAACATATCCCAGCAACAGTCTCGCCCCAACTTGGGAAGAATGCAATCTCCAGCCAGGAAGTCAACACCATTGCAATCACAAGTAGCCAGTACTCCACAGGACTATGACCTCCAACCGCCCCCACCTATCATAGACTCCGACCCAATTCCCAGGAGAGATAGCACCTCAGGTGGTCGTGCAATTCCCCCACGGTCTGAACTCCGAAATTCTATCTCCAACTCTCCCACCAGGGCCACCACAGATAACACCTCGCCACCATATCCCGAGCGTTCAGAGGCCAGAACCTCGCCCAGTGTGCAACCTCTTTCAACTAGTCCAAATCGCAGTAACAACACTACATATGCTCCTACTGCAGAAACTGCAGACCCTACCCACAATAACCCATACGCTCCGTCAGTAGAGAGCAGGAGCCGCTCTCATAAACCCGCGTATGCTCCTATGGTAGAGCCGGCAATTACCCACGCTCGTCCGCCCACTCACAACACAGAGCCATCATCTCCAACCCGACCTAAGACACCAAATTTTTCTCGTCCTTCCGGTGGAACAGGAACAGGAGCAACAGGCACAGGTTCTGTTACAGGTACAGGAATGGGGACGAGCAAGCGCGGAACCCTCACCAGCACGATCAAAGGTATACACGGCGCAGGCGAAGCAATTCGCGGTACCATAAACACCGGCATTGCACGAAGTCTGCACGACAAAGAAGAAGAAGAGAAGATGCGCGCTGTGAAGGAGCAGGGAGCGAGTGAATTTAGGGGGAGTGGGTTGAGGGAGGGGTTTAGGGAGAAGGCAGATAGTCGGATGAGGTTGAGAAGGAAGAGTGTGGAGCAGAGGGGTGTTTATGGGAGTGAGGGACCGCAGGGTCTTGATGTGGTTGAGGAGAGGAGTATTGGATCATAGTGGAGGAAATCGATGATGCGATTTTGATGTAGACGACGAATGGTACATGATATTCGGATTGAGCACGGCGTTTATGTGGATACTGATCTATTCCAAGCAAACATATATCAATGATGAAAATTTCTATCATAATGAATTATGGGCATCGAGAGCCATTTGAATACCCGCACCCACATTCCCAAGTTCCCGAGCTTGTCCTACGATATATATCGTGACTTGCAGGCTTAATATCAATGCAAGACCTGAGACTTTTGCACCGACAAACAAGATTTTGAAAAACCAGAAGGTCTGGAATAACCAGATGAGGTAGTATTTGAAAGTGCTTATGCTTGAGGGGGAGGGATGTCAAAATTAGATATCTGGGTTGAAAGATTCAAAGAAAGGCCGGGATTACAGTCGGTAGAGGTAACAGATTTGCGAAGACTGACAACAAACGTGAATCTCGCAACTATACTAAAAACATCGGTGAAGAAGCTTGGGATGTCGAAGATACTGGTGTTATGTGATAACGATGCCGCGATATTGCTCGAATGGTTATAGTGGATTTCGGATGTGATACTTCACTTTTAGATCGATGGGATCCGATAGCAGTAGACCTCTCTCTGAATGTACTGCAGAAGAGGAGAAAAGCTATAGAAGGAGATCTCAGCTCTGGGCTTTTGAATCTTGATCTTCAGCGGCAGCAGGTAGAAGTATGAAATGGAAAGGATGTTGTTTATTCTTCTGACTGTGTAAAGAAGATTTCATGCAGAAGTAAGCTTAGGGAATGATTGATATATGTGTACACCAAATACCTGGGGCACACCGCTGCACCGCATAATCTTTTTGGCTTGAGGTGAGGTGAGGAGGCTTCCCTCCTGGTGCTCCCCTCCCTCAAAAGCGCTGACTAAGCAGATACATAGACCTCGACTACCACGTGACTAAGCTAAATGGACGTCACATCAGACGACAGTCTTTCCTTCCTCTTGTGACTTTTTATCTTTTAAGAAATAAACGAAGGAGAGTTTTCTACCATGGTATGTACCAGTATCTCAGCCATAAGTTTTCAGCAAACTTTTAGGCAGCAGCTCATCGTCTAGCGAAACGACGTAAGCTTACGAAGAACGTTTGCGATGAGAAAGAGCCTAGCAGACTGCCAGCCACAGCGCCTGCAGCGCATCTTCCGCCCATGCTACGCTCTGTATGATTAGGGGGGTTGCATCGCTTTCCATGCAGACTGCATGTTTGAGAAGAGAACGCCAAGGCAGTGCGGAATGCGGAATTCTGTACGAGTACTGCAATCGGACATCCTTCAGGATGTTCACCAGCCCGCCTTCTGACTTCGTATGACATGGCTTGGATATGCCGCGGCAAATGCCTTCATTAGGTACTCCATGCTCTCCGTAGCAAATCAGGACTTGATCGGTGATTGGTTTCCAGACCTTGTGGCTTCCCCAGCACAGAGCCTGCCAATGCATAAAGTACCCAACTTATAGACGGACCTGCAGCCAGAGGCATGGGGAAGCACAGCCCAAGATTTGTGGCTGCTGAAACAGAGCCTCATCAATTATTGCAACCGTTATTGTCCAAACCCATTTCTCTAGGTTCCTATTTCCCTCATCAAACTTGTTCTTCATGTGTATGGATTTGTGTCTTACAATATTCTCATCTTCACTTCTGTACCATCATGGAGCTCGCAACCGGTGTGGCCGGTCTGATTTCACTCGCCGACATTGTTATTAGCAAGACGATCAAGTATAGCCTCGAGGTCAAGAATTCGACAACGAGTATTACAACATTCTTGGCAGAAGCAACGAGCTTGCTCGGAACCTTGAAAGCTATCGAACACACATCCAAAATATATTTGGAACACAATCTTGTCATTGAATTTTCGGTGCAAACGCATATCGACGGGTGCTATCACCTCCTCGAACAAATTCGCAGAGCTCTCAAAGAACCCGATCTTCATGAAGGACGTTTCAAAAAGTTGCGACGCCAACTATTATGGCCATTTGACTCTGCAAAGACGATGGATCTTGTAACAAGTCTTGAAAGGCAGAAGCAATCTCTGAATCTTGCATTCCATAGCGAGACCTGGTAAATGAATACATCGAGACTCGATCAATTTCTAACCGTGAAGACAATTAGGCTAGCATCAATCAAAATTGGCCGGAATCAGTCTTCAGATATCAAATCATTGCACGAAGCTATCCAGGACAAACACCTCGGTATGTCTCCTTTAACATGATTGGTTCATTATATGCCGACTATTCTTGACATCATTTTAGTCGAAGAACATGAGCGGATTTATAAATGGCTTGGGGACGTTGACCATGACAATTTACAGCAAAATGGAATTGATCAACGTAAACATCTCATACACCAGACGGGGAAATGGTTCATCGAGGGTTCTCACTTTACGCGTTGGCTGCAGACAGATGGGGCCAAACTTTGGGTTCATGGCATTCGTAAGTCATTCTGTGTCATTGTAATATACAAACTGATAGCCGCGTTCTTTTAGCCGGGGCAGGGAAGACAATTCTGGCGTAAGTTTCATCGCAGGTAGAGAGGTAAAGACTTCTTAGCATCCGTCAGGTCCACTATCATCGATGAGATTAAAAGCCGGATTCGATATCAAGAGACAGCAGACATGGAGCCGGATGGTCAGTTTCCGCCGTTGTTCGATCTCATCTCACTAACAAAGTCACCATAGTTCTTGTGTACTTCTACTGCGACTTCAGAAATGAGAAAACCACAGTGGCTTGGAACATCGTTGGGTCGCTAGTGAAACAGCTTTCACAACAAAATCGACAATGCTTGCACCAACTGGAAGACTTTTACAGCTTATATAATCCTAGAGGCGAAGCAACGAAACCTTGCGACGCCATGAAGCTTTCTCAATTACTTCAAGATATGGTGAAAAGTCTCAGTAGCAGCGTGTTGGTAGTTTTGGACGGCTTGGATGAGATTGAACACTTGAGGGTAGAAGCCGTTGAACTTTTACAGGGCTTGTCTGCTATTACCTCGCCAGAAGACTATGCTTTAGGCGATCTATCCGGAGAACAGCTTCATTCAAGGTCAAGCAACACGTCGATGGCCGACGCCCCTGGCACCAGCATCACGCTATTTGGCTTAGACAGGACCACAGAGACATGCCCTCCAGAAATTCCACCTACGTCACAGAGTTTAAGCAGGAGACCGTCAACTACAGTTCGAGCCGTAGATGCTGGAAGTCAGTCTCATTTGCCCTCTATCAAGCTTCTATTTCTTAGCAGGACGTTGACCGATATCGAAGCACGTCTCCACGGGTTTGAGCCGATAATCATCGAAGCTAGACTAGAAGATTTACGTCTATACGTTGCATCAGAGTTAGATCACCGAGTTTCGAAAGGAAAACTAAAATTTGGAAATCCGTCGCTCAAAGAAGACATCCTCGACAGGCTTGTCAACAACTCCCATGGCATGTATGTCCCATCTCAATTCATATCCAAACTAGAGCGACCTCTAATCTATTACCAAAGGTTTCGTTGGGTTGCTTGCCAGATAGATTTCATCTGCAGCAAGCCTACAGATAGGATGAAAAGAGCTGCGTTGGAACAACTTCCTCGAGACCTCCCACAGACTTATGACAGAATCTTGAGAGGAGTGGACGAAAATCACATGAATCTTGTCCACAACACACTCCAATGGATCATCTACGCGGCAGAACCTTTACCTATCTCCGCTTTACAAGAGGCACTCGCAGTCGAAGATCAAGACATCGATTACGATGAAACGGCAATGGCTAACGAAGATATCCTCCTGCAGTGTTGCAGTAGTCTTGTCAAAAAAAGTCAGTCGGCAACAGATTGCTTAGAGCTTGCTCACTTTTCTGTGAAGCAGTACCTTCTCTCGATTACATCCCAGTCGCCTCCCGAGATTGCGGTCTATCGAATACACCAATTAGGAGGGAAATTGTCGCTTGCAAGAACATGTTTGACATATCTCAATTTCGAAAGTTTCGAGAGAGGACCCGCGAAGACACTAGACGAATACCAAGATCTCGTACTCAAACACCCTTTTATCCACCATGCCAGTCAATACTGGTACTATTATGCTGAAGATCATTTCACCAATTGCGATATCATGAGGGCCACCCAAAGGCTTTTTGCCCCTGAAATCACAGGTCAATTCAGACTTTGGAATCAATGTGCTTTGATGGCTGAAAACAAGGCTGAAAACAACCCATACATGGATATGGAATGCGCGAGATATCAGGATTGTATGGAGGCATCTCCTCTTCATTGGTCAACATTGCTTGCATTACCCGAAGTCTCGGAATATCTTCTTCAGGAGTTTTCTCCAAATCTCGAGAGCGGCATTGGAATGCCTGTTCATTGCGCCCTTATAGGAAGAGGTATTCTTCAAAATATATCTGTTTCAATGATAGACCTTGAAAGCAGGATGTCCAATCCAGATATGCAAGCGTTCCTGAAGCAAGTCTACAAAAAGGATGCCAGCTTCGATATCAAGAAGCTACAAGCAATGAGCGACAAAGACTTCCAGGATCTTTTACTTAGCTGCACGTCGTCTTTTCAAAGAAAAATAATCAAAAGTGTGCAGAACCAGAAAGCTATTTCACGCGCCGCTACCTGGAGTTACGGCGCTATAGAACACGACTCGCAACGAGCCAGATTTAAGACTGTCAGGCTACTCATCAATCACGGTGATTTTTCTAACTCCGAATGGGCATTTTCAGGACTTGATGCACTCGACTTAGCCCTCTTTATCAGCAGCGAAGAAGATGACTTTGTGGGGCAGCTTCTTCTAGCGGGTGCAAAAATCACATCTGAAACAATTCACCTTGCCAAATGGCTAGTCGACAGCGAACCTGATGGTGTCAAGCCAGGTGTACAGGTTCTTCTTCGCCATCAAATCGACACCTCCTTGCCTGAATCGGACCAAGCGATGTTTTTTAAGATGGCAGAAGATTTACGAACTTTCGAGACTGAAGTCACTACCATTACGGGTAATCAAACTCTCAAGGCTACAAGTAGTGCCAAGGAGAGAATATTATTTGCAAAGAGTTTAATGACAAATGTCAAGCAAGGCGTCACCTCTAAGGTTAAGTTGCGGCTTGAGCAGCTGGAGGGTAGTCCCTTAGCGGACCATTTCTCTGACCAAGTTCAAGAAGCCTTCCATATTGCCGTGGAAAAAGGCTGGCGAGAAGTCATTCTCTTGTTTTTGGAATACGGGGTTCGAACTGATCGAACGGCATTCTCCTGTGCGGTAAAGAACGGCGCTTCGAGAATCGTCGATATGTTGCTTGACCACGATCCCAAAATTGCTCGCCAAGAGGATCTTTTTACTGCCATTAAAATAGGAGACCATGATATATTCTTTTCTCTATTGAATATAGGCATTCATACTACCTCAGTTGATGAAGAGAATAACCTTCCTATACACAAGGCTTTGATAGTTGACGACCTAGCTAGAATGCCTGGTCGTGAAATTATCATCAATGAATTGGTCTCTCGAGGTCCGTTATTGACTGCGGCGAACTCAAATGGTGATCTGCCAATCCACCTTGCTGCCTGGCTAGGCCTTGAGAAAGTCGTTCGGAATTTCATGGAGCGAGACTCACCATTCGACACCGAATGCAACTATGGCTTTCGCCCTACTCATCACGCATGTTTCAAAGATTCAGCCGATACCTTGGAGCTGTTGATACAAAGAAATGTGGATGTCAATGCCAGGCGAAACGGGGTTGGACATGCGCCCTTGCACTGTGCCGCTAGGTCTAACGCGCCCCGCTGTACTCAGGTACTTATCGACGCCAAAGCGGATTTGGAACAACTCAATGCCTATCAAAATACCCCGTTAACAGAAGCTTCTATTATGGGCTCTTGGAAGTCCGCAGAAGTACTCATTCGAGCAGGCGCAAACATCCATGCAAAGTCCTCTAAGACAAGTTCGACAATCATGCACAAGGCGTCAGAAGCGGGAGTGATTTCTATAGTCGATTTGGTGCTTGAGCAGCAGCTAGATATTGAACTTCAGACCTCGAATGGAAAGAACGCCTTGTTTCTTGCTGCTGCAAATGGTCACATTGAAGTTGTTGATACTTTGCTCCAACAGAATGCCCGGGTTGACGCAGGTCGCGAAGGCTGTGGTACTCCTCTACACGAGGCCATATCGGGCGGCTTCACAGATATAGTAAAGCTATTGCTGGATCACGATCCCAATCTGGAATGTCTCAACTCTGAGTTTCAGAGCCCCTTGATGCTAGCTACGACGTTAAAGGAGCGGAAAATCATAGAGATGCTAGTTTTGAAAGGAGCTAATGTGAACTCCATAGATAGTCGATCGGGCTATACCCCGTTTCTTTCAGCTGCGAAGCATGGTTATCCTGATATTGTCAAGCTAATGATTGATCATGGAGCCAATGTCAACGACAGGTCAGAAGCAAAATCGCAGAATACCGCCGTTATGCTCGCTTCTACGTCGCATGGAGAGAGCTTAGCTACCGTCAAGATTTTGGTGGAGAACGACGCAGATGTAAAGACCAAAACCGAAACTCCTAGTGGTCTATTCACTGCTCTGCTTAGAGTCTTGGATGCCCATGTGATTGATAAAATTGCAGCCGAAATCGTCGAATATCTTCTAGAGAAAGGGGCCAACGCTTGTGATACATACCCTGATGACGGCACGACGGTGCTTATGGAGGCAGTCAAGAAGAAGAATACCAGGATTGTCCGCGCTCTACTGGCCAAGGGTGCTCAAGTCAATATACAGACAGAAACGTCGAAAGTTACTTCGCTCTTTCTCGCCATATCGACTAATCAGCCTAATATGTGCAAGATACTGCTTGATAAAGGCGTAGATTTATCTCTCACCGATGCTAAGGGAGGAACGGTCGCTCATGCTATTGCAAAAACTGCAAATATTGAGATTATGAGGTATTTCCTCGCTCATAGTGTTGACTGGAAACGTTCAGAGGGCGCAGAGTTCCTTGATCTTGATAAACAGACTCAATTTGGATTATCTCCTCTGCATGTCGCTTCTGAATATGGATTCGCAGCCTTTATTGCGACCCTCTGGGAGCAGAAACTTCTAAACGACCCAGATGTTCCATGCGGCGATGATATAAGAGCGCTTCATTGGGCAGCTGCTAATGGCCACCCAGCAGTCGTTGGAGCTCTGCTATCCAGAGGGGCTGACATTAATGCAGCTACAAGGATAAAAGGCCACACTCCACTTCAACTAGCTGCACTTAATAAACGCTCTCGTTGTGTGGATATCTTAATCCAAAAAGGGGCATTTGTCAATGTTCGAAATAAACTTGGTAGAAGCGCAGCAGATCTCACGTCCGAACCTGGAATATCGCAAGCATTAAAGTCTGCATCTATTAAAGAAGGTAAATTGATCACACTATAACTTTGAAAATTCAATTATCCACTGACTTTGAATGATTACAGAATCGTCCAGGCCACGCAACTCCACGTCTCATGATGGCATAGCGACAGAATCCGGTGTATCTGAAGATCCTCGAGCTCCTGAGCTCAGAAATGCGTGTCAGAAGGGTGAAATCATCATGTGCCGTCAGCTGCTATCGCTGGGAGTAGACCCCAATGGGGGTTCCGTTGACGGTTGCTCGCTCTTGCAGATTGCCATCCAATGCAAACATGAAAATATTGCAAATTTGCTCATTGATAAAGGCGCCGATATCCATCGACATGCTGGTCCGAATGTCGAAGAACATGGATATCAAGCTATCCACAATGCGGTCTGGCACGACATGGACAAAATTATTCAAAAGCTGCTAGATAAAGGTGCGCGCGTGTCAGACTTTGGGCTAGAGCCTGTTCATATCGCCTCGTTCCAAGGCAAATCTATGTCCTTGACGAAACTGCTTGAGTTTGAATGCGATCAGGCCGGTGGATCAGCTCAACGAATGCTTAACGTTCGAATTAAAGAGCAAAAAGAATATCCAAGGATGTGCCTCGCTCCCGAGATCTATGCAGCAGGTATGCGCTCAAATACCACACCACTTCATTTAGCTGCTTTGAGGGGTCAAATCGACGCTGTTTCTATTCTAATAGACTATGGTGCAAATGTTGATTGCCTGGATGGTCGTGGCCGAACTCCTTTACATCACGCTGCTGGTAATAATCATCTTCAGGCGGTAAAGTTATTATTGGATAAAGGAGCAAACATATCGCCCCGTGATTTATTCGGAAAGACTCCTTTCATTTACGGTCTGGATGGTGGAAATGCAGATATTATAGACGAGCTGCTTACTCGATCTGTGGACATTACAATGACTGATATGCTCGGAAGGTCAGCACTGCATTATGCCGCGAAGAACAGCAACCTGAAAATGCTCAAGCACCTATATGAATTAGGACTCTCATTTGATCATTGCGATACATATGGAATAACGTCTCTGGAATCTTTAATACAATCCGGGATCTTTTTCAACGATGAGGTGATATTCTTTATCATTGACCATAGCTCTTTATTAGCATCACAGCGTAGCGAATGTGCAAACCTACTAAACATATGCACATTTTCCGGGGAAAGCAGACTCACCAAGCGTGTGCTTGATCGTTTCTCAGAAGAACAACCGAAAGAAGCTTTGCATTCTTGTATCAACAACTACTCCACCTTCTATGGCACACCGCTGTATTCTGCGAGTTATCAAGGCGTAGTTGAAGCGATGGACATTCTGTTTAATGCAGGCGCAGAAGTGGTATCTGCTAGAGGCCCCTATGGAAATGCGCTGAACGCGGCGTGTGCAATGGGCAGAGTAGATGCAACCAAGTGGCTTTTGCTACATGGCGCTGGGCCTGTGAGTGACGAGGCTATGCAATTAGCATCTGCTTACCCATCGGTGATAAGAATCCTGAATCGATACAAGGACTTGGGCATAGAAGGACTTGATGAAGAACCGATCCTTGTTCTACCGAAACGATACCGTCTAGTGAAGGTGGAAGAACTTCCGGAACCTAAAGAGGGACCAGGGAATTCTGTTGGTCAACCGCAAATCACCATGACGGATGGACCACCTTCAGATAATGTGGCCGAGCTATCTACCAGCCAAAAGGGCGACAGCAATTATACAGATAATGAGTCGCCAATACCCACAATCACACCAATGTTACCTGCAGCCTCCACGCCAGGATCTGCGAATCTCGAGGATTCAGAAGAAGACCTAGAGGTCTCGAGAGTTTCACCGCCATCTCCTATTACGCCGCCATCACTGCGCAAGACAAGCTCAAATTCGACTTCGACTCTTGATGAAAATGTGGAGGAAGCAACCCCACTTGTGAAATTGGAGATAGACTCCTCGACTTCGTACACTGATAAAGACACTGAGGCCGCAACTTCACATTGAGACTTCCGATCTCAGTTCTTCATTATACTCCATCGCTACGAAGCCGTTAGCTGGCAGGTCTTGCGAATAGACAGAATGGACAGTTAGAAGACGGAATATTGAACATTGACTACTATATAAGTGCACCGTTCGATGCTTCGTAAGATGTGTGTGGAGCTGGGAGAGGTAGGCATGGCGCCTTTAAGGGACATGATCGTTATTATTAGCGAGAAAGATTTAGATATTGTTAAGGTACTGACATGGAGTATACCGCTTCCCCAAGAAATGACGGTTTTTATTGTAGTAATCACATAGGCAGAATAGGAAGTAGTCACAAAAAGATGGTTCAAAGAAAAAAGGTATGTAAATTCGTTGCTGCTAGAATGCCTCCAACTGGAAGGTCTTTTATAGAGGCAGGAGCCTCCATAATTTGTGCTGACTAATCCTCCCCATAACAATATGTTTTTGTTTCTGTCAATTGCATTCTTAGCATTTACACTCCTCGAGATTTAGAAATGTGTTGAACTAAGAGAACAGAACCTCTTAGTAGGAATGGGCACATAACCTCGCTTATCACAGATTATCTTCTCTCACTCGTTCGGCTATTAGTTATTCCAGCCGAACGACCTCGTCGCTGTGCACCCTTGCCTGGTTGTATTCGTACGGAAGGTACGAGTACCTCTTGTTATCATGGAGCGGAGCCACATTTTCCGCATTCCACGTCCTACGCTAAAGCTTACAGGTACAGTGTCTGATGACTTTGCTCTAGGGGAAAACCCAACCAAAACCGTCGCCGCGTTTGTCTTCACAAGATTCTGGTCCAACTGTATACAGTCGCTTGCACGAGTTGTAGCATCGTATATTGCTTCTCAGTTGTTATTTTCCTCGAGGAGAAAAGTGTAGTTTTGTTTATGATACTGCTGGAATGGCGTCTCTCAACGGTTAGCTTTTCTCACTTTAGCTGCTGGTTTGCACTTTATAACCTGATTTATATTAGAATCGATCCTGAGCGTCAGACCAGGCAGACTCGATGTGCAGCAAAGCTCAGGTACCTCACCAATAGGTGGGCCAACCAGAGAGGCCAAGGGACGGCAAAGACCATCAAGAGACGATAGAATGCTGGAAGGAGTCGGTAACCTCATTAGAAATATCTATGTTGAAGTTTCTGAGGCCGAAGAGGAATCTTGTGAGGCAGCTACTATCAAGGACTATGAATTCATTGCTTCGTATAGTTGGAAAGACATCGAGCATCCAACTATATACGTCCCAGGTCTTTCCCGCCCCATTACGAGGAAAAGAAGTTCGAGCTAACCAAATCCTAGGCCTCCCTCCAAAACTCACAACTCCGAGCCTCCCAATCCAACTTCAAAGAGACAGACTTACGCGCTCCAGGCCCCGATCTCCAGCAGCAGCGGTCGATCCCCTCTTCGAGACGCTCCTCCACCAACATCCTGATTTTGACATGTCTTCCATACATCTGGTGACCGACCGCAATAGTCTTCGCAAATTTCTATCTTTTGCTTCAAACGGTCCCGGAAAATGGCGTATTGATGTGGATATGATAAATGACACGATGTTTTTCAACCAATGGGAGGAATTTCGGCTTATGATGATAAATGGATGTCAAGATTCAGGTTATGGTCATGCTTTCGAGGACTGTGTCACGGCTAGAGAACCGACTCTGGAGGACAGTATACATCACGAACGAATTGTGAGATATGAACTTGGGGGTTTGGAGTGTTTGGTTAGGTTTGAGGCCGACGCTTACTTGGATGTAGATGGGAACGAGAAAGGGAGAGAGCGCTTGGCGATCCATTCTCCAGATCCTCCTGCACCAAAGCCTACGAGACCAGTCCTTAAACCGCCATATAAGCTCGTTCACGTTGTCTCTCGCGGTCATTATGTCAATCCGGGTCTGATTGCCGAGATCAAATCCTGCTCCACACTCAAGTTCAACATCAACAAGACGCTTCCTCAATTATGGTTTTCTCAAACAAAACACCTATGTGTGGGCCGTCACAAGGAGGGGCTTGTGACAGAGAACCTGGAGATAAAGGATATGAGGGAGGAGCTTAAAAAGTGGGAGGCTAGTAATCAGGAACATTTGAAGAACATGATCCGGATAATCAGGGAGATTAGGGAGATTGCTAAAACCGCCCGGAAGTGTACAATTATTTGTATGACGGTCGACGGGGTGAAGTGCTTAAGTGTTTTTGACAGAAAGGAAGGTGACATGGCAATCCGTCCGGAGGTTGTAAAGCGATGCTGGAGGACTTTGGGAGAAGCTCGAGTTACGACTTCCACACCGAAAGTAGGACTTTAAAGCAACGCGATACGGTCCCCAATCACCCTCAACCTCTTATTGCTGCTGATACACAAAAAGGGTCTTAGCTTAGCTTTGAGGCCTCGCTACTATGCTAGGCATACTTGACTAGAAAATCGATGTTTAAAGATCACCTTGGGCTTCTATATAAATCTAGCTATCTGGTCAAAATCCATCCTTTAGCACGGCGTTAAACATGTTATCCTGTCCTCCCTTCTCGTCTCCTCAATGGCGTCTCCTCGTCAACTCTTTCTTCTACACTCCCTCCTGCCGCAGCTTCCCCTCCGGCCTCAACATCGCCCACCGTCTCCTCGGACCTCGACCCTTTATTATTTTCCAGAACTCCTCTGCCTGCAACCTCCTTGCACGCCTATATCTCCCGTACATCCCCCGGGAAAACATCTTAAAGAGCCAATGTGTAATTGGTAGGAGCACAGCAGCACTCCAAATGTCTATCGGCATAGTGACCTGGAGGCTCGCTAAAACATTCCGCCAGTCGAGGGAGAGCAGACCCGCAATGATGAAGTACGAGTAGCCGTTAGTAATGTTGAGGTATTCCGTGTGCAGGGAGTATACTGAACAAGAAAGAGATAAGGGACAGGAAGAAGAAAGGCGTGTTAGGACAGAGCACGCTATAAGGTGTTATTGCCTGCATTCGGAACTATCAGTATACTCTTCTAATCTATAGGGTAATATGAACGTGGGCAGAAAAGAAGTGGGGAAGAGCTTACCAGATAGACCGATAGAGTATCACTTGATTTTGAAGAGGTGAAGATAGACATGTCACGTTTGATATACCGTCTCCTGCATGCATACTGTGGTGTGTCTAAAAGTCATGATTCAATTTCGTTCGTGAGGTATAAACAATCAATCTGCAGTCCTCTCATCATATATCCGTTATCTTCATCAATCAATGTAAAGAAAGCTATTACGCACAACTGCCCTCCTTCCGACAAGTAGTCTATGTCTTGACATCCGGCTCCGTCCGTCCGATATGTTCCTGGAACTTCAAGAAGCCAGTAGCAAGGTCAATATCGGGCTTCAAGAAATCCTGGGCATCTTTTCCGTACGTTGAAGCATCTGAAGTGTGTTTTTCAATGTACAGACGAATTGTAGCGCCAGATGAGCCGGTGCCGGAAAGTCGGACCACGATGCGAGAGCCGTCAGAGAACTTCACATAAAGACCTTGGTTGGGCGAGACGCTGCCATCAAGATCGGTGTACGAGAAGTCACCTGCTTCGGCGACTGTGCGGTCTGTGGTTATATTAGTAAAGAACAGATTTCTGGAAGAGAAAGACATACCGCCAATCTTACTACCAACAAACGACTTATCCGCAATCTTCTCGGTCAAACCTTTCACGACCTCTGCAGCACCCTCACTGCTGACATTTTCATAATCATATCGAGTGAAGAAAGTACGACCATATGTAGTCCAGAAGTCATGCTGGATCTTTGCAATGCTAGGAGTAACATCTGGGTTCGCTTCTCCGATACCAGCAATGATGTTCAACCAAGCCACAACAGCCCATAGACCATCTTTCTCACGGATGTGGTTGCTTCCTGTACCGAAAGACTCTTCACCACAGATAGAAAGCTTATCGGCATCGAACAGAGCGCAGAAGAATTTCCAGCCTGTAGGAACCTCGTAGCAGTTTAGTCCTTGAGCCTTAGCTACAAGGTCGACGGCACCGGATGTTGGCATACTACGGGCAAGGCCGTGGACACCTTGCTTCTTGAAGTAGGGGATGAGCTTGGCATGGTGAGCGATGATTGCCAGACTGTCTCCAGGCGAGACGAAAGCATTAGCTCCGTAAATCATGTTACGGTCTCCGTCTCCATCACTTGCAGCTCCAAAGTGGATCTTTCCCTTGTCAACAGCCTCGACGAGAGAGTGTGCATATGTGAGATTAGGATCTGGGTGACCACCATTGAAATCTGGCGAAGGAATACAGTTTTGTGTGCTAGAGCTTGAGAGACCGAATTCTCGTTCGAAGATATCCTTGCCGTAAGGGCCGGTGACACCGGATAGAGCATCGAAGAGGACCTTGAAGTCGGTATGTGTTTGGAAAAACTTCTTGATCAGAGGGAAGTCAAAGATATCTTTCAGCATATCCACATAGTCTGCGGTCGAATCAATGATCTCCACCTCCAACGAGCCGTATGTCTTGGTTCCAATTGTAGCAATGTCCACATCTGGGATATCGGCGATCTTGTAGGAGGTCAAGCTCTTGGAAGCTTCAAAAATTTTGTTCGTAACTGATTCCGGAGCTGGTCCACCATTCGCAAGGTTGTACTTGATACCAAAATCATTCTTAGGACCTAAACCCCAGTTAGTTATGTGCAGAATATCAACTGGTACGAGACCCACCTCCAGCATTGTGGCTTGCAGTCAACAAGATACCACCGGTTGCCTTGCGTTTCCTGATAATGTGGGAAGCAGCAGGTGTACTCAGAATACCATGCTGGCCGATCAGAAGCTTCTTCACGCCATACGCAGCTCCAATCTTGGCAATCAACTGCACGACCTCGGGGTTCCAGTATCGTCCATCACCGCCAATAACCAGGAAACTGTCCTTGACGCCTTCCGGGATTGAGAGGAGGATAGAGGTGACGAAGGATTCGCTGTAATGGGGTTGTTGGAAGACGACGACCTTTTTCCGGAGGCCGGAGCTGTGAGGTGGCAGTTGTTATTTTTTGTGTTGTGTGGGCTGGCGAGGGGGCAGGCGGGGTGGTGTGGGGTGGGCTGTTTACTTACGTTCCGGGCTTCTGGTCGGTGAAGGGAGTGAGGGAGACTTCTTTGACACTCATGATTGCTTTTTGTTTGGAAATCTTCTGAATCCTGCAAAACCGTGAGGACACTATGGCAGATTGTGTTTGGAGAGAAGAGGATTGGGGAAGATTTAAGAAGCGGCAACCTTATGATCGACCGTGGGGACTTGGTTGAGGTGGGCGTCATTTAGCAGGGGCCATGGAGGGGTTCCAGCCAATCATTTGACGAGAACTTACCTTTCATCACCCAACATCTGATCGTATCAATCAATATTGACAGTATCTACAGAAAGACAGAAAAATGCACTTCATCTCACGATTATTATATCCTCTTCTTCATTCATCTACTTCTTCCCTCTCGGCCGTTGAAAAATAGTCTGCTTATAATACCTCGCCTCCTCAATACTCTCCAAAATATCCGCCTTTGCCTGATGCAGCAACAGCTTCTTCGGCACCCCGACCAGCACATCCAGCTCACACCAGCGCTTCGCCGCCTCCTTCAGCGAACTGACGTCTAGTATGCGATGGCTGAAGTGGTCATGCACCTTCTTGTACGGCTCCTTGCGCAGGAACGCCTTATCGGCGTGCACCGTGTTGCCGGCGAGCAGCGCGCGTTTGGGCTCCGGCACGAAGCGCTTGATGTAGGAGAGCAGGGCCGTTGAGGCTTCTTCGGCAGTTGTGGATGAGGAGAGTACGGCGGCAGTGAGGCCGCTGTCGCGGTGCGTTCGGGTGCACCATTCGTCCTGTTGTGTGTGCCGTACCCGGTCAGTCCAGTTCTATCTACCTCGAGTGGGAGGGATATGGCTTAGGTAAGGTGGAGGTGAGTTACCATCTTGTCCATTGTCTCCTTCGATTGATGGATCACTGCGCCCCAGCCTTCCTCGTCCAGCACATCCAGGTTTCCATTAGTGATGACGCAGAAAATCTCGATAATCACGTCGTTGTCTAGATCGAGTCCGGTCATCTAATGGCGAGCTACAGTATCAGTAGGCGGACCTGCGTGGAGATTGAAGTTGTTGTTCTCGTACGTACCTCACAATCGATCCATACCAGCGGATGGCTGCTGCTGAGTGAGTGCGCCATTACTGGTGTTGAAACTACTTTCTTTGAAAAATGGTGTCTAGCTCAAGCAGAGCGTATTGCTTGAAGATTCACCCAGAGCCTTCAGCCTTACGGTGAAGGATTACTCACGTGATACCCCTCTTTCCCTTCAAGTTACGAGTCATTTGTAACTATTCCTATTGGGGATCAAATTTTCGTCGGTCTATTTACGTTATTTGTTTATTGCCTAAGGCAAGTAGATCTCGAGGGAAACCTCATCTGTTGTGGGTTTTAGACGCAACAAAAACGAAATCACGACGAATGATATTCGAACATTATTCAAACATTTATATTATATAAGACATCCAAGCCATAAAGCATGAACCCATTAATCATACCACCCACCGCTTTTTTTCTTCGTCTGACCAGCAGTACAAATTTTCAACAAGTATATCTCACACCCCTCTTCCCCAACTCCTTCCTCCCCACACTCTCTTCCGGCCAAACCCACCCCCTCGCCCTCTTCGCCTCCCTCTTCTCCGCAAGCTGTGGCTCAGGAATCCACTCATCCTTTGGCAGACACTTGCGCCTAGTGCCCTCAGCAGGCGCACCAATCTCGCTCTTCCAGCCCACCTGTCCCGGCAAAGTATCATCCCTAGCAAGCATATGCAAATACCACAGCGCCAGCAGAGCTGTCATCTTCTGCTGCTTCTGGACAACGTTCTCCTCACCGGCATCAACAAACGAGCCCTCTACTTCTTCGTAAGTCGAAGTCTGGGAATCGTGAGCTGCGAGCTGGATGGTCTGAATCTCTAGGTATCCGAAGTGGGGCACGTTTTCGCCGCCGTTGCGCACAACTACCAACTCGATCTCAGTGATGATGAAGCCGTATCTGCAGCCGTGTTCGCGCATCTGGCGGTGCAGGTGCGAGAGTCCGCGGAGGTATTCAACTTTGCGGTGGTTTCCTTCGACTCTCATGCCGGTGTTCCAGCGATCGAATGACTTTACGAGTCCAACGACGCGCCCAAGTCCTCGTCCATAGATGAGCTGGGAGTTGTCATCTGTGTAGTTGGAGATGAATGAGGGATCATTAGTGCCTTTAGCTGAAGAGCGCATCATGATGTGGCGAGAGCCGAGGGACATTGAAAGTGCAGCGTTGAGCTTGGTGGCATAGAATGAGTTGTAGATGTTGTGCAGCTCACCCTCTGTTTCTGGCTGCAATGAAGTACGTGGTGGGGTGGGAAACGTCACTGTGGGCAAGTTGATGCTGAGTAGTGCGTGTAGACCAGGTATTGAGCTGATTGTAGAAGGGTTGAAAGAGGTCCAAGGTCGGATTTGACGGATGTCCCACCAAAAGTGCTTGGTGCTGCTGTCGCGAAGGTGAATGTTGAGTTGGCGCACCAAGGCGGGAGCTGGGTTGGGTGAAGTGAGATACGTCATGAGGGAAGTGTTGTTTCCGTCATCCAATGGATTGAGGGTCATCTCATCCAACATAAGGCTGTTCTGGAGAGGCGAGGGAGTACGTTGCGGTGTGTGCGTCTGTGTCTGGTAGAAGTTTTGAGGCATGAAAGTCTCGGCTTGAGGGTTGGTTGCAGATTGCATGAATGTTGGCATCTGACGGTAGGTGGGGAAGGAATATTTTGCCAGTGCCGACCCATCGAAGCCTACGCTAGATGCTCGGCGCTCATGACCTTGTGTCGATGATGGAGCAAAGGTAACCGGCGAACACAATACAGACATTGAGCGAGTGTGGGAAGGAATGCTGTCATGCTGGGCAAAGGAGATTGACTCGGGGTTGGTATAGCTCCTGGTATGCGACGGCTTGAATGCTGCTGCTGAGGGAGTCTTCTTGAACCGCTTGGGAGGAGAATGAATCTCTTGATCCTGTGGACGGATCTTGGGCAGCAACAATGGGCCATGCTGTCTAACGGGCGACCTGGCAGGAGTGGTGAGTCCGGTGTTGACAGAGTCAGGTGATGATTCTATAGAGTACATCGAGGCATGGGAGCTCGACCGGCTGTGGCCCACAGTGAAGGAAGCTTCGTTCAAAGCATCCTCATAAGAAAACTCGGGAGGAGTTGTTGGCCCAAACGAGAATGGGTAGTCGAAAGACATCTTGTCTGCTACCAGACTGGCTTGATGTTAACTATTGGCCATTGAAACCGGCTCTCCTATGACTTACGCAATGAAAGATGGCGATGGGGTGGTGTCAATTAGACACTATCAATTAGTGATTGTAAAGGAGGCCAGCTCCAGGTGCAGAGACAAATGGAAGAAGGCAAAGAGATTCGTGAGGAGAGGAGAAGAGCAAAGGATGGATCAATAGAAGAGATGGCTATTGTATTGAATGAATAAAAACCAACAGAATCCCCGAGGTGAGTTGGGGTACTTATCCTCCATCAACACATAGGCTTGCACAGCCCAATAAGCAAATGGAAAAGCAAGGGTGTAATAATCTAAATAAACGTGAAACGTGGAGAGAAAAAGTTAGACTGCCCACAGTGCCGGTGTGAGAGCCCGAATGTGTTTCTTGGTCGAGGCCCGTTGACCAAATGGTTCGCTCGTCAGTAGGCGCTGGCATCTCGCCCAGGTGCCCTTTCTGGATGGGGACGATTAAGCGTATGCACAATAACCACTAGCATATGCAGCGTCTCTGACTCATTTTTAGAGGCATAAAAACCCTGGGATAAAGGTGGGATAAAGAGCGGGATGCAGCGGTAGCTTCATGTACATATGCAGCGCGCCATCGCGTCAACTGTATTTATTGTATTGTATGTTGAGAACGTGGAGCGCGAGGCATCGCGAACACAACAAGATGCTGCTGTATCGCGTCAGGTACAATAAACACCACGGGAATCTGGCAACCCCGACTACCGACTACCGCACAGTAATCTTCTCGAGCCGCTTGCGTTACCTTCCATTCCATTTCGTCGCCTCGCCTTGCGGTTCTCGTAACACTGCGTGTAGTACACCCCACTGGAGGAGTATTTTTGGCTCGGCGGCTGCTTAATGAAACTTCAGAGCCGCCTCCTAAACAAGACAACCAGCGATCCAACACAGGAGCCGCGCCTTGAAGCGCCGTAATCTCTCATCAAGCTACAGTACGCTTCTGCCGACCTCGAAGCGCCTGTCCTGTCTCGCCTGTGTACAAATAACTGCACGAGTCTGGCGGCTACAGTCGTGTCAGGGTCGTGTAAGCGAAAGAGCCGTTCGTGCATCTCATTGGTCTTTCACTGCCGCCCATGACTAACGTGATTGGCTGCTCGATACGCGCATTTCACGACGCGCCGCATACTGCTGGACGACGAGTAACCTCCACAGAACTGCATCGCAAGAGTCATCCTCGTGTTGGCCTTCTCTATTGGACCTCCTCTCTTGAAAGTTTCGAGATCGTCCGTTTCAGAAGCTCTGACTCATTGTTAACTGTATATGTCTCCACATTATTATGCAAGAAGCCGTCATTCGGAGAAGTTGAGAGCTTCAACCACAGAACTTTAGATGAAAAAGAAGTGGCTAGGAAGGCTTTTGTGAACTTGTGAGGAGAGTTGCTTGCAAAGCTTCTGTCCCGCGATACCGAGTAGAAGAACGGTGTTTGGAGACGGGGAAAGTTATCCCGAACTTCCAACTTCGGAGAAGTCCGCCAGTACTGTACTGTACGGAGTAAGTCTTATTTATGACAAGATCAGGAGAGATTCCGAATGGAATCAGAAATCATTCGACGCATTTCACGTGATCTATCATCAGGTCGGAAATACCTGACCCATCTGGGTCTTGGTCTTGGTCTCTTGGAGGGTTGATTGCGTCTTTGAAACTGTGGCAGTGCTATTTCCTGTCTATGGTTTGAGAATCTCATAGTAAGACATCCTCATCTCCGTCTACTGCAATTTACCTCTGCCAAAACATCCACAGCGGTCTCTTCTGTCATGCGCCAATCTTCAAGCGCCCGGGAGGGGACATTGCCTTTGCATTGATGCTGTACAACTTTGACACCACATCCATACCTACCTTACCGGTAGTAAGCGAGCGTCTGCAGTGCAAAAGCAAATCTCAATCCGTATTTCATTTCATTTAATTTCCAAATTTATCACAACCCGCGCGTCAAAGCTCTCCTTACCACCACCTCCCCTCTCCTCTCTTCAAAGACTATGCATTCAGATCAGAAGCGCACATGATACCTCTTACCCGTAGCCAAATCCTTGTACCCGTCCAGCGCCTTATTCACCATCTCAGCATCCAGCCCCTCAATAACGCTATACTTGGACGGCTTAACCTCCCCACTCTGCAACCACAGCGGAAACAGCTTCCAGAACAACACCGCCAGGTCCGGCGACGCTGCAGATGATCCAGTGAGGTGAAAGCCCTTATACCCAGCCTTCTTCTGCGCTGCGACGGCCGCGCTAGGCGCTCCCGGTAAGAGGCTCGTGTAGGTGCCCTGCTTGGAGTTCGAGAGCAGCGACACGGCCAGACTGTGATCGTCGAGGTGGAACGTGTCGTAGACGTGCACCAGCTCGTCGCCCACGATACTGCGGACCTGCTTCTCGATCTCTGCAGCTGGCGCGTGGCGCGAGATCACATGCGTGGCTCCGAAGGCCTTCAGCTCTGCTTCGGCTCCACCAGCCAGCGACGCCGTCGTGATGATGGTGCCGATGCCAGCTATGCGCGCCATTTGTATACCGAGTTTTCCGCAGTTCGTGCCGCCCCCGATAATCACTATCGTCTGCGCGCTGTAGTCGAATGTCGCTGCTTCTGGTGTACCGGGGAATGGGAAGCCAAACCCGATTTCCGGGTGGAAGAGGCAGACCGTTGAGGTGAAGGCGTTGATGGGGAAGGCAGCGTCTTCGTCAGATATTCCGGGGGGGACGAGTGCAGTGTACGGCGCTTTGATGAGTGAGTATTCCTGGAGGCCGGCACATGACATGTTTGAGTACTGGGAGAAGACGTGGCTTCCAATGGGAAAGGATGCAGTGTTGCCAGGGCCGTTCTTAACCACTGTGCCGACGAGATCGAGACCCAGAATCGCGGGAATATCGATGTTCAGAACATTGTAGTCGCGCAGCTTTTGGTCCAGGGCGTTCACTTGTAACTCGATTGTTAGATGATTGACTCAAACGTAGGTAAGAACTCTTTCCATCTGAAGGTCCAACTTACAGCCTGTAGCGGTGAGTTTGATCAAAATTTCATTCTCCTCTGGCTCGGGAATCGGCACCGACATTAAAGTCAAGGGTTTCCCGACCTCGACCAGAACAAGTGCTTTCTGAGTAGTAGTCATTCTGTCTGAAAGTTCGATAGCCAGGTAGCTAGCGGTATAAATGCAATGACGAAAGTAGAAGAAGCCTGCTTGCTTGCTTGAATGCTTGCTTATCTATAAAAATGAATCTGCAATGAAAGTCAAAAAGACCTCCCTCCTACGACGCAACCTCAACTCTTTATACACATGCCCACCTCACCAGCTTGATAATCAACCCCAAAAAGCTCTGGAGCATCCATACCCCAAGTCCCTATACATTCCTAGATGAGCAACAGAGCAGGATTACAATAAGTGGACGAGGATGTAAAGGTGGATATGTGTGGATTGGCTCCAGGACAACTAGGGTAGACGGCTGTCATTGTGTTGCGTCCCGCGGTGGGAGGCCGAGATGGGAGCCGATGGATGGGGCGAAGAGGGAGGAGGGAGCCGAGCTAGCATGATATACTCCTTACTTAGCGCATTGCGTTATATTTCCAAATTCAACGTCCACTTTGCATGGGCAAGGAAAATAAAAAAATACAATGCAGTTAGAGTCCGGAATTAAAAGGCGTTTTTGAATCCCGAGTCCCGGGATTGGTTTTGGGAACAATCGCAAAGGAAGGAAGGATTGAGGTTATCGTGTAGGAATGCATAATTGACATGCATTGTTAAAATCGAGGTCGTGGTCGATTATGAAATGTTAAGATTTTGAGAATAAATACATTGCGAGAAAAGAAATCAAGTGCAAAAGGTATCATAGCAAGACAAGACAAATACACAAAGCATCCCCTTTTCCTTAGTATCAACACACCCAAACGCCAAATTAAAATTTCTCAGCAACGCCAAAGAAACACAACATCCCTAAGTGTCATGACCCCATCCTCTCACTTCGTTAAAATCTTGAGCGACTCTCATCCCCTGTCCAATCAACGAGAACGCTCCATCCGCAAAAGCGTTGCCAGTGCTGGGTATTTGAGGACTTGCACCCACCTGCACACCTCTTGCATCGGCCCTCGTAGTAGCAATCCTATACGCATCGTCTAGATACGTATCTTTGCACATCATTCTCGCCAGAGCGGCACGCCTGATGGCACTCTCCCAGCGGTGGTACCAGTCAACTTCGCTCATGATAGTTGGCTTTCTCCCTACGTCGTCGCCTGGTGGGCAGTCGGCATAATCGTAGACAGCCTTTACGACTGCGTATCTGCTGGTGAGGAAGAAGAGGAATGGCCAGGAGAATAGCCAGAGGAATGTTAGGTAGAAAACCCAGCGGATCCAGGTAGTGATTCTCCACTGATTGATCATACCGGGTGAGTAGACTATCAAGGTTTGGTGAACGGTCTGGAAGTCTACCGAGAGGTGCCCGCGGTAATTGGTCTCTTGGATGGCAGATCTGAGCAGTTGTTCAAGGCGCTTGGTATCGTGATTTCTGATCTCCCGCTTCAGTGTAAAGGACTTTACTCCCGCAGGATCAGCGACATATCTATCGCACCACGCTCGCAATTCATCCGCCTCTTCCACGTCTTGCAGACTCGGGTTCAGAGATGGGAAACGGGTTCCCCTAAATCCACGCTTGTTGTCTGGGAGTAGTTCAAGCTTTCCAGAGTAGTCCGAGCCCGGTCCTGGAGAGAGGAGGTTGGTCAAGTTGATCTTTATGAAGAAGTCGTTGATCTTGTCCTTGGTTTCTTTATTGCCATTGCGTCTCGTCTCCGTATGCGAGCCGTGTAGTGTGACGAAATAGGTTGGCGGATAGCTGGCCTGCTCTCTGATCATCGACTCGAGGGTCCCCGAATTCGTTGAATAATTGGGGAAGCGGGTCCGTTGTTCCGTCTCGTCCATATCATAGCTCGCAAAGGGGAGTTGGGGGGGAGCACTGGCGAAAGAACATCAATTGGTTTTCGGTCTCAGACAAGACATGGCTTTACATACCAGTACCAGTTAATGAGTGGATAGGTTCCTCTGAAGAAATCGGGGACAGATGGAGGCTGAGAGGCCGTATCTTCGTATGCTGGAAGTGCTTCGTCTGGAAAGGAGTCGAAGTCTCCTAGAAGGACAGCAGAAGAGGTTGACGCTGCATCATCGCGGTCTGGCTCGTCCCTATAAGGCGCATCTTCCCCTTTCTTGTTACCCATTATTAGGAAAGCTTGTTAGACGTTGTATGCTCTTTACTAAAGTATTGAAACCGAACAAACAAAAATGTTTTTAAGGTTAATAGTTAGGTAGACGGCCAGGCCTTATAGGTCTTAGCAATTGCGGCACAGCATGGTCGATCAGTAAGCGCGGGGCAATTGCAACCCTGAAATCTATTTTTAGTGCCCACAAATAGGGTAAGAACATCTTTGGCATGTTCAAGACATCACAAGTTGCAATTTTTGTATGTTTTATACCATTTTCTACCTCTAGTGGGGCCAACCAACATTTTAGAAGCTGAAGTGTACGATGAGGACTAGGGGCATAGAGTTCTACTTCAATCCCAGATACCCTGAGATCTTTATGCGACAGTTACGTTATATTCTCTCCTTGAAGGGAAGCTCAAGTGATATATCTTCTATCTATGCTAGCGTTACCGGATTAGTCCTAATAGCTGAGAAATCTTCAAGCTGATAAGGCGAACTCCCATCAATCACTATCTCCTTCGAAACTTTTCCTGGCTGTGGGCCACTGCCAGCGGCACAAATTCATCTTCCATCCGGTTGGGACACATTCTCTATTGGCAAGAAATCAAGGACAAACAAACATTGAACCTCTAGTGATGTTGAGGAATGTTCTACTTGCCAAATATCTTTGCTCTGCAGACAGGTCGAAGAGCTGAACCATCTGCGCCCACAGTCCTCTCTGTACCGAATTATTGTGTGTTCCGTATAACTTCATGGCTTACCACAATCGACCAAGTCTGGTCCGCGTCTGCGATCTGGACTGTGGCAGCATGCCTATATCCGCATTATCAGTTTCTTGCAATCGTTTTTAGATGCCAAACTAGTTTGATGCATCGATCGGGAACTATGTTTGGTCTCTGATAAAGAGCATTGCTGGCATTCTGACTTTCGGTATTTACCTACCCAGGTAGGTATATTTGACTCATTAACTTTAAGCGAGCGTAAAAGGGGGAGCTGATGATTTGAATGAGACCTCATCAGGTACGCAACAGGCCCCTGATGTGACAATGCTTACATGGTGCAGATCAGGGTGGTCATGGTCTTATGGCCCTCTGTATTTCGTGATCGGGAAAGCAACATCTAATGAATGCACCGCCAGCCACGTGGAATTCACACCAGCTAAGCTAAATGTGCTAGCTATAACCCAACACCTCTTTTCCTTGTCGATGCCATTGTCTACCGATACCAGAACGAAAAGAAGCAAATGGTCTTCCCAAAACATGAACAAGCCCCGAACCCCGCGGCCCTTAGTGTCTGCAGTGAATCTCGAGAGATCGCCCTCACGAAATATCGGTTGTGCTTTGGCACGCCAGATGTTTATGCAGATCTCGAAATAGACATTCTTTACTTTGGCCCGGGGCATGCTCTCAATTTGGAATACGTGTGGGAATGTACTCAGAGGGCTGGGGTTTCTCACCCGTTTATTGACTATGCCCTCAATCCAGCGGCCAAAGAAGATCTGGAGAAGGTCCAGCGCATAGATATCAAGTATCTAGAGGGATGGGAAGAGTACGATGACAGTCTTGGACCGTCCCATAAAGGAGATGGTAGTAATCAGGCAACAACTCGCCGCATTCAAGAGCTTAAAGAGGTATTTCTGAGTTATGATCACTATGCTGATGGTGGAAGTTCACTCTCCCAACCCTGCATCTTCTTCCGCCTATCATCGACATTCCTAAGATTGTACGAGAGTCGCCCCAGACTTTGATGTGGGACGGAAAGACAGTCACGGTACCAGCTCGCACGATCATCCATATCAGCGCCGTCGCTGCCAAGATATTACCCCCACAGCCCAAGCACTGTCTCAAAGAAAGAGCATGATCTCGATGACTGGGTACCAGAACGGTGGTTCTCATCACTCAAGCAAGAGAGGGGTGGCGAGCCCGAAATCACCTCTATTCCCAACGCGCCGAAAAGACTCTTCGTCCCTGCCAAAGGATCCTATATCCCCTTCTCCGAGAGAGCTCGTTCTTGCCCCGGGAAACGCTTCGCGCAGATTGAGATTATCGCTGTGCTTTCGGTCATCTTCAAGACTCATTCTGTGGAGCTGGATGTTAGTGCCTGGGCAAGCGACGAGGACATTGAGACGATGGGCAAAGATGAGAGGAGGGTGGTGTATGAGAAGGCGATAAAGAGGGCTAGGAGGATGATGTTCGAGAGCGAGACGATTGTGGTCTTGCAGATGCAGGAGAAGTGTCCGCTGCGGTTTGTGAAAAGGGGTGGAGAGAGGTTTCGTGATTGTTATGTGTGATTGAGGGGAGATTGGGGAATACCTGAATGTGATGTTTTTCAAACCAGGATTCTTACCTTTCTTGAAACTGAGAACGAAGGGAATCCTTCCGTTTGTGTAAGCATTTTATCGCCCTGCTACTCCGTCCAAATTAAATTTCCCTCGCAGTATACAAAAACGGATAACGTGGTTTATCACCAAGTCGGACATATCACCGAGTTGGACACTTTTCCTTGGCACCTAACTTCAAATATAAATAAAATAACTATAATATATTAAATTAATTAAAACTAAGAAGAATCTGAAGAACTAGATATATCTATATCCTCTTAACAAGTTTGTATATTATAACTAGCTTTTCTGTAGGTCCCATAGCGCTATCTAGATAGTTGCCCCTCCTTCTAAATACCTCTCTCTATAACTAAGTCGCGTTATACTTGCTTATCTATATCCTTCTAGGCTAAAATATCTTATGCATCCTCTACTATAAGTGCCCCCCCTTAATGGACTCGAGTCTTTTTAGCTCTGCGGCGTTTACTTAGGGCTTTATTTGCTGCTTAAAAGGTGCACATCTTAGTAGATAGAAGGGTTATCTTATAGGCTATTCGCTCTATACCCTTTGCTAATATAGCAATAGTCTTAAATAGTAGAGTTGGCAAGCTCCCCTAATAGCAGGCAATTTAATTTTGAATAAGAGTTAACTGTGAAAGAGCTTTAGTTAGGTTAGAAGGGGTCTGAGAGACCTAAGAAAGAGAGTTAGCACTTGATAGCCGCGAGGGAGTTGGAGTCTGTAACTTTATATTAAGCTTTAAAATTATAGCTTATAGATTGAAAGGTACTAAGCTAGCTCCACGGAATCCAGCCTAGCAGTTTGTAATAGTTATTATCTTCTTATATACTACTTAAAAGGCTAGAAAGAACTTAACTTTTGTGATGTGATTGATATGAGCTTTAATAAATATCTCGATTTGCTGTCTATATACTCGTTTTAATATACTAAAACACCTAATATTAAGTAGCTGGGTTAGATGGGATGAATGAGGAGGTAGTCTAAGAGTTATAATGTTATATGCCTTGTAATACTCTTAGAACTTGGCTGATTTATAACTCTTATGCCTATCTAATATAAGCATTTGATATGGACCCTTTATATAACTAGTAGTATATTTATTAAAGTGTTTTAACTAATCTAGACCTGTCTTATTATTTGTCTACCTATTGCTTATTAGTTTAATAACCTAGTTAAGTGAGAGGCCGCTATCTGTATACTAATTTGAAAGATGGTTCTTGCCTTGAACCACTAGAAATAGAGGAACACTCTAGCCTTCCCTATTAATATAAGCAATTGCCATAGCCTATTTCTAATTGCCTAGCTGAACTGCCTTACTTCTACTATATTGATCTATATAAGTAATAACTATTCTAGGATAAATAACACCTATTATAAACCTAGTTTTATTAAAGTTATATAGGTCGTAGTCTAGAATGCTGTATTTTGCTCTTATATTCTTAACTAGTTAAAACTATAAGCTAATTAGCTTAGGATCTTTGTATAAGGCCCTTTAGAAATTATAAACGCGATTAAAACGCGTCTTAAGGGCTAATTATTATTGTATAAATTAATAAGCCTAGAGCTTTCTAACGCGTCTTCCCCTCTGCAATTTAAGGATAAAATTTGCTATATCTTTTATACTAGCTAACCAGGGCGCAAATCCTCTAGAATCTAGGTCAAGTATATTTTAAATAATCACTTCCTCCTCTAGTTTAGTTAATTTAAGGCTATTAGCTATAGTTTTAGGGCAATAGGATTAGCCGGCTATTCTGTTAAAAAGGGTTAAAAGTGGTACTTTATAGATTTTTGCTGCGGCGCGTTGGCTTAGTTTTTTAGATGTTTAAATAGCCTTAATAGCTAGAATAATTCATGCTTCTTTAGTCTAAATTTCTATTATTAGTTATTAAGAAAACGCGTATTAAAGTTGGAAGGGTAGAATATAAGGAAAAGTGTCCGACTCGGTGATATGTCCGACTTGGTGATAAACCACGTTAGGCGAAGAAAATATATTTGGCCAGGGGTCTAACGTTCGTAGAAAGGCTCGAAATATCCATTGAAAATATAGTAAAACAAGCACTGCTTGACGTGTAGGTGGCTGTTTAATCCGATTCGTCCGCTTGGAATATGGGCAATTTGTATAGCTCAGCAAGACCGTCTAAAAAGGTACTCAAGTCCAAAACCTCCATCGAATATGGTGAAAGAAAGTCGCTCGACTGTATAAAGATGGTTTATAACACCGGATAGAACCAAGAGGACAATCATATCATCACCACCAACTGTACATTCTCCCATCTCTATTTATGCTATACACACAAGGTCGCCCGCCGTTTCATCCCTTTCCCTCTCCATTCTCATCCATCCCGCGAATATACTCTAGTGGTGAGCCTCCTCCTCGGGCTCTTCCTCAAACCAATCGAATTCCTGGCTCGCAGCAGCACCTCCCTCGGCCTGACCTTCAATCTCAACAGCAGATGCTTCGTAGGATTTCAACTCGTTCGCAATGTCGGCCTCCTCGGGAGACTTCGGGGCTGCTGGCGCGGTGAACTTCTGGACGCTGCCTTCAGCATCCGTGGCTTTCACGGCGGGTACTTTGTAGGCTTTCAGTTCGCGGACGTAGAGGTCTTGGATAAGGTCTAGGAGGAGAATGTTAGCAGAGGCTTTAGGGGCATTGAAGAAAGGCCGCGGGGCTCGGGATAGAACTTCATAGGAAGCAATGCTCCATGGAATCGCTTTGGGTATGAAAAGGAAGGTTGACGAACCTCGACGGGCAGCCGTAGGGGTGATGAAGGTGCGCTTCGCAACCATGCCGGTAGCTTGATGTCTCGCGACACGGGCGATCGTGGAGCGCTGGAACGGTTAGCTGGGTCATCCGGGGAGCTGATAATTATTCATACCGAAGCTCTGAGAGTTTGGGTAAGCATCTTGACGAGTGTGGTGGTGTCAATTGGATATTGCGAGGGCGTGAATGTCCTTCGGGATTTTGAGGCCTGAGACGAGGTTCTTCAAAACCCAGTCACGTGTTATAGGAGCTAGTCCCTCTTAAGCCTCAGGTTTCCGAAAACTACAATTCATGTTTTCTTCAACCTTCGTAAATGCATGTCTATTATTTTACTCTTCTATGAAGGCCGTAGGTTTTCGTCTACTTAGTACATTTGCAGGCTGTTCTATGAAGTTTTCCGCGTTGTGAACATAGCCTGTGCTACCTAGAATCTTGTCCCTAGAGACATTTAAATTCTGAAACCATTCAGCTAAAGTAGCGCGGGTCTCCCCTCCAAATTCCTCTTTCTAGCCTCGCGGCTTTTCGAGGCCCTTACATTCAGGCTTAAATCTATCTACCATATGAAGTGGCTATTAGCTACACCAATCTACGCAGTGTTCTCCAAATAACAAGTCTATTGCTGCCTAGAATTTAGATTGTAAGGATTCGAGGCGTTTCTTGCTCCAGGTGACTCACCCGGTGACAACAACAAGGTTGCATTTAAAGTGTAAGCAGCTATTCTATATCGGTATACGCAGAGGTTCTTGCTGATATAAGTAAAGCAGTGGGCTCCCAAATACACGATCGTATATTAGAGTATCTGAAAACGAGGCTAGCCATCAGGCTCTCAAGAGTCAACACAAACCATTAACATGAGTCTTCCGTGCTCCAACATTGTTAGCTGGTCCAAGAGGGGTCTTGCTCAAGAGACGCAATCATTGGAACCTCTATCCATCAGAGACCCTGAGACAGACACGCTCAATCTCCATTCCCCAAGCCCCCTCATACGACTACCCAGTGAGTTACGAAACCGAATCTTCGAGTACTGTGTCCAAGACGCCACATTCTGCCCTTGCTGTCTCGAGCATCACGAAATCGTGGCCGACGTCTCCCGCAACATGGCAATCAGGGGCGTCGGGCCACTTCCCGTAATTTTCGTAAACAAGCAAATCCACGACGAGGTAACCAGTCTCGTATACTCTAGCCTCGAACCCGTAGCAATCAATGGCTATTTCCTCATTTTCCATCAAAGCGCAACATCCTTCCTCCCATCATCCTACCCCGCCATCTGGCCCCACCACCCACATGTCCAGAATTTCGCTCGCCGCGTGAGCATTACCATGAGCTACTGGAAGGTATGGGGTGAAGGTTTGGGCAGTTGGTGTGATTTCACTAGTGACCGAGAAAGCTCCTCCGATGGTTCATGCAGTGCAATCAATGCAAGCACGCCCTTCGAGACGCACCGTTCTGTGATTCGCAAACTGGTGAAGTTTCTTCGGAGTTTCAAGTCATTATCTCAGCTCGAAATCATCATTGATCTTCGTCGATATCTCGAGGGGGATGATTCCATCCATGGACTACAGCAATTACTGCTGCTGTACGACCTTAGAATTCCGAATACCACTGTGAAGTTCGAGCTGCAGGTTGATTTTAGACCCGCTGCGGTTGAGCATGCAGAGGAGATCCAGAAGCAGTCGAAGAAGCTTGTTTTGGAGTGGATGCGGGCTTGGAAAGAGTGCTTGCTTTATAGCGGGCGACAGGCTCCCGAGTTTGAAAGTGGTGTTGAGCAGGGGGAGAATGATGCCTCGCGGTATGTTGTTGCAAGTCAGACAACTTTCTGAGGATATTTCCAGCAATAAGGTATGGTTGTGAAAGAGCTGGAGCGGCAAGTGTACTTAAAATCCTTTCGTATTATGCGGGATTGTTATGGTAAGACGATACAACGTGTTGTTGTTGTTAATTTAAGGGGCAACGATAATATATAAGGGAAGAACGGTCTATTTCTTGGGTGAATAAGTATCCAACTGCAGAACTTTCTAGTTGTTAAAGGACGCTCAAAAGATGTTGATAAACATTGAGCCTTACTCGAGATCACCACGCGGAAGACTACATTTTCTTAGACATAAGCTATATTTATAGCTCACTTAAATCACCTGAATTTATTATGTTACAACATCACAGTGCTTCCGATGGGAAAATGTTCATAATGTAGCTTTCTATGATTACAAGGCTCGATATGCAAGCCAGGCCCAACTCCCGAACCACAACCGACGACCAAGCCATCTAAGCGTAGAAATTGACGGTATCTTTCTTCCTACAGGTGGGATATTTGTCAGTAATGTTTTATAAGTGATTTTAGAAAATTGAATGCAGACGTACTTGGCTTGAACTTCCGCAATGGCATCAACGTAATGTTCGTGGCTGATCTTGTTCTTCCCCATTCTTAACGCAATCATACCTGCCTCTACACAGACAGCCTTAAGCTGAGCACCTCCAAATTCATCCGTACTTCTTGCCAGCTCGGGCCAGTTGACTGCATCGTCGACCGTCATTTTTCTGCTGTGAATCCGGAGAATCTGTGCTCGGGCTTCCTCATTAGGGAGAGGGAACTCGATCTTTCTGTCCAGACGTCCAGAACGTAACAGGGCAGGATCGAGAACGTCGACTCTGTTCGTAGCTGCAAGAACCTTGATACGATCATCTGAAGCGAATCCATCAAGCTGGTTAAGAAGTTCCAACATAGTTCTTTGGACTTCTCTGTCTCCGCTCTTCTCACTGTCGAAACGCTTTGTACCAACGGCATCCAACTCATCGATGAAGATGATCGCAGGTGCCTTTTCTTTGGCAAGAGCGAAGCAATCTCGTACCAACTTGGCACCATCTCCTATGAACATTTGTACTAATTGTGGACCCGCGAGTTTGAGGAAGGTGGCATCGGTTTGGGCGGCGCAAGCTCGGGCGAGGAGGGTTTTACCTGTACCAGGAGGACCGTACATGAGGGCACCTTAATCGACGTTAGCTTAGGAGAAGTAATGTGTCAACGACTATACATACCTTTAGGAGCCTTGATACCAATCTTCTTGAATCTATCAGCCTCCTTCATTGGCCATACTATTGCCTCTACCAATTCCTCAATCTGCTTGTCAAGTCCTCCTACATCAGTGTACTTTTCCGTTGGCTTCTCATCAACCTCCATAGCCTTGACTCTGCTGTCATATTCTGCGGGTAATGTGTCCAAAACCAGATACGAATCCTTGTTCACACCGATCAGGTCTCCTGGCTTTAGTTGCTCGGGGTCGACGAGGCCAATAAGGGGAAGGAAGATAGTTTGTCGGGTGGAGGTCTTGATTACAGCAGATTTCCCTACGCGCGTGGCATCCAGGTCGATATTGGCACCTTCTTCTTGGGATTCCGCAGTTGGGTCTAGATCAAGCAGCTCAACAACATTGCCGACAAGGTAGGGTAATTGCCTGCCAAATGGTTAGCCAGATCATCAAAAGACATATCCATGAGAACCTAGGTTCATACCTGTTGTTTTCAATCTTGTCGAGGTTGTCCTTGATCTTCTCGCCCATAGTAGCCTTCTCGTGAGATAAACGTTGATACTCGCTCTTCATGATCCGCGAATCGTTCTCGAGCAGCCTTTTCCGCGTGAGAATATCTTGTGTGCTTAAGTTGTATATCTCCCCGTCTATAGGGTCCTCTTCCTTCTCCTCAGGCTCGGCATCCTTCATTTCGGCATCACCATTCTGATCGGGCTTCTTCCCTTGATCTTTGTCGCCATCGCCCTTCTTATCCTGGTTATCTCGCTCAAGGTCATCGAGATCTTCTAAAGTGGACATGGTGGGATGTGGAGAGGGTCGATGGGGGTCAAAAAGGTACGGGAAGCTGATGGAAGAGTAGTGGATAGAGTGCGAAGCTTCAAAGAGTACAAATGGGTGTTTAGTATTCGGAGCTTGGAACCAACGAGAGCTCCAAACCGAACAGTCGCGTAGCGAAATCAGGCAGCTTGAGACTACGAAGACTGAGTCATGTGATATTGAATTAGTGGGTGGTATTATGTCAGCGCCATCTATTTCTGCCACACCAGTTCCAAGAGAAAGTCCTCCCCTTCCTTCTCCATCCCTTCTTTCGCACGCTCACTCGCCATCTCGAAGAACGTCAACTGTCGCTTTCAATACTCCCCAAAGTTGCCGGTCACCTTTCTAGCGATAGTAACCGACGTCTTTCCCACGACTTGGAATCCTTCACAGACGCCTTCACTGGTCCATCGTTCTGAGAAGCTTCCTTTTGTCGGGCGATTCAGCAGCGCAAATTCACATTTCGCCTGACATTCATTCTACCACGCATACGATATACCTTCCCATATCGAATCGCAACTCCCAACCTCCTCTTCTTCATCTCCACCTTTGATCTTGCGCCGAGCACAATTGTTTAAGCAACTTGCAACGTCCTCTATACAGCACAAATTGCGCGCAGGACTCTTCTAGGCGCTTCTGCTTTGGTACCGGCTCGCGCAATCCAAATTGAATCAGCAGCCGTCGATCTCTTTCGACGAAGGTCGTCTTCAGGACGCCAGATCGTGAGGTGATATAAATTCAATACCGCCAAAGTGCATTCTCAACTCTTCGTCAAGCTTAGCACGACCCTCCTTTGCGAAAAAGCAACACAAGACTTTCGAACTCGTGCTGCCGTATCGCGCAAGAGACAACAAGTCCGCAAGAGACGTCCCCGCCGTCCAGTCTTCGACGAACTTGATAATATATACCGGCCAAAGCCGTACAAGTCAAAGATGATTCCCCAAACTAATCCGGGCGATAAAGGCGCAGAATGGAGCGAGAACTTGAACATGACTCTCATGTGCAAGGACTGCAAAGAATTTCCACCCAACCTTGTCGAGGAGTTCTCCTCTGGTGACATGGTCTGTGGTTCCTGCGGCCTCGTCTTGGGTGATCGCATCGTCGATACCCGCTCTGAGTGGCGTACGTTCTCCAACGATGATCAAGGCAATGATGACCCGTCCCGTGTGGGTGATGGCGCCAACCCTCTGCTCAACGGCTCTCAGCTTCAAACCACCATCGCGTTTGGTGATGGCAACGCTCGAAGCCGCGATCTTCTCCGCGCACAAGGCAAATCTGCTAATGATAAGGCCACTAAAGGCCTACTTGCAGCATACAAGGAGATTGGTGCTCACTGCGATGCCGTTAACATTCCAAAGAATGTTTCTGACACTGCCAAACATCTCTTCAAGCTTGTCGACGATGCCAAAGCCTTCAAGGGCAAGTCGCAAGAAGCAATCATCGCTGGTTGTATCTTCATCGCCTGCCGCCAGTGCGGTGTTCCACGAACTTTCCGCGAAATCTACGCTCTGACGAAGGTTTCCAAGAAGGACATTGGTCGAACTTTTAAGGCTCTGGAGAAGTTTTTTGCCCAAGATAGTGCTGGTAAGGTTGCGATGGCTAATGCTGCTGGTGGTAAGTTGTGTGCAGATGCTATACCAGTAGTTCTATTTATTGACATGCTATTTCAAGGAAATCTCCAATCAACAGACACGTACCAGACCACTACCTCTACCAATGCCAAAGACCTATGTCTCCGTTACTGCAGTCAACTTGGTCTCAAGTCCCAACAGTTCGTCAAAGTCTCTCAAGGCCTCGCCGATAAGATGTCCACCGTCGGTGATCTCGCCGGTCGTTCTCCACTATCAGTCGCTGCCGCTTGCATATACATGGCCTCATTCTTGCTTGGCAAGGGAAAGACTCCGAAGGAGATTTCGCAGGTTGCTGGTGTTAGTGATGGTACAATCCGCACTGCGTACAAATACCTGTACCAAGAGCGCGAGAGATTGATTGAACCAGATTGGATTGCTGACGGCAAAGGCAAGATGGACAACCTTCCAGTCGGTTGAATGGGTGATACCATAAATTGATCTGGCATGGCTTTGGGGTTGGCGAGAGGTGTGGCACGGTCTCGTTCGACTGTCCCTGCTTTTGATTGCAATTGGTCGTTGCTGCTTCAGGCTTGAGATCTTCCATGCAATCTGATGTGTTGCGGGATTACGATGGGATATGCCTGGTTAATCCTTCTGCGCTCATTTTGACGGGCCTTTGCTTATGAGCATCGATATCCCCGTCACTTAAATTGTTGCGGAACGAGTCTGGACATTGATCTCTATTTTACCTGCTAATCGGAACAGGACAAGTTTTAGTGGAAGAGAAGTCTTCTATATGCGATGGCGGTGGTCGCTTGTGGCGAAATACCATGTAAAGAAATACAAGCACTTAACCACATATGATCTGCCAGTAAGGCCTGAAATTTGTGCCATGTTTGATGTCGTGTTTTAGTAGTTTCCGTGAGGGCTACCATTCCGATAAGGTCCATTCTTCTACTCCTTGCATGTATTCATTATTATTACGTGTCCCTTCTAAATCCTCTCACTAACATGCGTCAAAGCCTACCCTAACAAATTCAGTCCCCAGCCCTGGCCTCTTAGCCTCACGACATGAATGTCCTACAATTACTGTGGAATCAAAGTGAGTGGATATGAATCGTTTGATATGAAAGCCAGCTAGTCTCAGCCTTACGGCTCACCTGCGGGGATGCTGCTGATTGCTAAAATGCGTACATATTGTAAACAAATGCACTTCACTTGTAGAATAGCCTGAGGCTAAAAAAGCTAGGCACTTGAAGTCCTCTAAATGTACTTGTAAATAATATATTTCCTGTGCTGCAGTCAGAAGTTCGGATTACTGAATGCTCTATGTCGTTCACCGGGGCCGAAGTGCCTCGGCACATTGAGCCATGGTGGGGAAGCTCAAATCCGGGGTATCGACAGACGACACCCTTTCTTTTACATTGCACACTTCCTCCACCCACCCAATTCCTTTTCCTTTTCCTTTATACACATTTTATCCTACAAACACAGTACAAAATGAGCAGTCCAGGAGCAGGTTTCGAGTACCCACCTACAGAAGTATCTTGGTTAAAGAGAGATGTCCTCCTTTTCGCCAACAGCATTGGCTGCACAAATGATGAGCTTCACTTCCTCTATGTACAGTCTACATCCTTAGATCATATTTCTAATATCTAACAATAAACCAGGAACTCCACCCCAACTTCTCCGTCTTCCCAACCTACCCCGTCATCCTCCGTAATTCCTTCCCACTTTCCTCCCTACCCCTCTACAAACCCTGTCTAACAACTCCATTCCACAGCATTCAAAGGCACCAGCCAAGAAGTAATCGACTTCTACGCCTCCCAGACCGCAACTACTATCCCGGACATCCCCAAATTCGATTCTCGCCGCGTCGTCGACGGCCAACGCCTCATGACCTTCTACAAGCCCCTCCCTCCCACCTCCGCGGGCCGCAAGTTCGAGCTGCGCCAGAAAGTAATCGGCGTGTACGACAAAGGCAAGGCTGGCAGTGTGCTCGAAACACAAACCGATATCGTGGATAAGGAGACGAGCGAGGTGTACAGCAGCGCTATTGGCAGCGCGTTCTTCATGGGGCAGGGCAATTGGGGCGGGCCCAAGGGACCGGCTAGTCAGAACTTCCCTCCGCCAGAGGGTAAAAAGCCGGATGTTGTGGTAAGTCATCAGACGACTGCTGATAGTGCGTTGCTTTACCGGTAAGTTATTTCCAGGGGCGATTGCAGGAGGAATATATAGCTAATGGTAACAGATTAAATGGTGATTATAATCCACTTCACGCTACCCCTGAGCCGGGACAGAAGATGGGCTTTGGTGGTGCGATTATGCACGGACTTTCCAGCTGGAATTTTGCTGCCCATGGGCTGCTCAAGGCTGTTGGTGGGAGTGATCCCAATAATATGAAGGAGTTTCAGGCGAGATTCGCAAGCCCCGTAAAGCCGGGTGACAAGCTCGTTACTGAAATCTGGACGTTCGGAGAGGTGAAGGATGGCTTTGAGGACATTCGGTTTGTGACTAAGGTTGAGGGTGGCAAAGTATGTTTGAGTAATGGAAGGGCATTGATTAAGCCAGTTGCAGGGAAGAGCAAGTTGTAGGTTATAGGGGATCATCAAGTTCTACATAAAAATGAGTATATGAAATCTATGGGTTTGTTCTTCTCAAGTCTCGCTTGGCGAGAAATGCTTGCAATTAGTTCATGATGCTTGCACAATATTTGAGTTGAAGAGTGTCTGATAAGGTTGAATAGTATTTGGTAAGTTGTACATGGGAATGTATCAATGTATTTATTCGGTAGCTGCCTCGATCCCATCTCACCTATCACAGTTATAATGATCGATTCGTTTAATAAATCTCATTCTAATATAAAGGAGGTTGAAAAAGGCAACGGGATGACGGCGGTTCTTGTCCATATTGCTCAATGCAGGCCGTAGAGCTTCGGTTGCAATTTCCATTTGAAGGACTCGTTCAGTTGTTCTCTAAAGCTCTAGCTAGATATCCCATTCTTTGTCTTGAATTCGTAGGTAGAATTGTACAGGTTCAACTAACACAAACAGAAAAAGAAAAAGAAAGTTGTAGATACAACAGAAAGTAAACAATAATAGAGAACAAAGAGATTTTATACAAAGCCATTGTTCGGAGATGTATAAGTCATCGAGGGCCTTCCAGACCCCTAGTTCCCGTCCAAAGTTTCGCAATCATATATCACATCAAAACAATCTAATAGCAAAAACATGCCAACCACACCCGCATACAACGAAAATGGGGAGACGCCAGCAGAAGAGCGTCTACGAAAGGCACGAGAGATAGAGGAAGGAGAGAAGTTAGCCCGAATTCTCGAGCTAGAACAGGAGGAGCATCGACAAGTCGTCCAGATGGATATTGACCTCCAAATTGCTCAAATTGAAGCTGCCGAGAAGAGGATTCAAGAAAATGACGCCAGGGACCGCAGAGAAAGAGAATTAGAACAAGAGCGGCGAGAGATCGAAGCAGCTAGGCAGCGCGTCATCCGCCGCGAACAAGACAAAGAAAATTCTCGTCTTGAAGCTAAGGCAGAGGCAGAGGCGAGAAGGATCTGGGCTGAGGAACTTCAGCAACAGGAATTTCGACAACAGGAACGTCTTCGTGTCTACCGAATCGAGCTGGAGGCTCAAAGGGCTGCTGCTTATGAGGAGAGACTAGCTAGAGAAGCTCTTGCCAAAGAAAGGGCCCAAAAGCTTGAACAGGCTCGTATCAAGGCAGAGGAGATCCGAATTAAGCAAGACGAGGCCAGAAAGGCTGCTGCTCGTGCGGTATTAGCCAAAGAAGCTCTCGCTAAGAAGGAAAGGGATCAAGAGCGTGAGCAGGCTCGTATCGAGGCAGAGAGGATCCGAATGGAGGAAGAGGCAAAAAATGCTGCTGCTGCTGCGCGAGATGAGAAGCTGCGGGCTGATCAAAAGGATAGAGAGATCAGAGCATATCTTAAATGGGAGAAAGGGGCTCGGAGGATCGAGGAGGCAAGACTTGAGCAGATTCGTGGCCAGGCAGAGGAGATCCGAAAATGGAATGAAGAGAACGCGGATGCTTTGGCTGCGCGAATGGAAGAGCTGCGGGTTGGGCAAAATGATAGAGAGACTCGGAATACAGGGGGTGAGGTCACGGCTAGGGAGATTGAGTCGAAGAGAAAGAGAAGAGGGACTTACTTGAGAGTCGGCATTCCCATCCAAGCTCTTGAGACCAATATGCCATCCCCTGCGCCGCAACCAAGAGCTGACCAATTTACAGAAGAGTCCTTCTCAGCACCTGTCAGTTCTCCATCTCGGTCATTGACTCACAATAGAGAGCCGCCTACAGGACTGGCAAATGCTGATCGTCTTGCAGAGGATCCCGTCTCATTACCCTTCACTCCTTCACCTCAGTCAATAACTTCCAACAGCGAGCTTCCTTCAGAAGCAAAGACTGAGCATCTTGCAGATGAGCCATTCTCAGCACCCTCCACTCCTCCACCTCAATCAATGACTCCTGACCGAGAGCCACTCTCAGAACCGGCAAGGAATGACCATCTTGCAGAGGAGTCCGTCTCACCTCCCGTCACTCCTCCACCTCAGCCATTGACTCCTAACACTAAGCCACCCTCAGAAACCCAGTCGATTAGAACCGAAATCCCAGCACTTCCACTCAAAGAAGGAGGCGAGACCTTCTTAGAGTTCTTACTAAGAATGAGAGATCTGAACGTTGAGATTGAACCAGGCGATGAGATGCCGGCGTACTATAGATCTCAACTCGAAGGATGAGACAGGAAGATAAAACAAAGGCCGTGTACCACCGTGCTTGATGGCTCCAACAATATTTCCAATTTTCGACGCAAGCTATCGCTAGGATGGGAGCTGCAGGATGTCGTTGTAAGCTAAATAATTTTAACGTATCTGTAATACAATTTCTTTTGACATACCAAACGAAGTTGAAACCAAATCTCTACGTCATATGATTACAAGTGAACATAAACACATGTTTCTTAAAATAACACAAGTAATTTTAGAAGATGATAAAACCTAAAACTTTCTAGACTCTTGAAGATCAATGCTTTTGTCTAAAGTGACAAAGGACAGGGAAGTGACTTGTGATTTAGCCATTTTGTAAATGAAAAGGCAGCCAAATACCAAGCAAGACTTATTAACTAAAAGGAAAGACGACGATGTATGCATAAATACTAGGAGAAGACCAACAACTTGACGGACACGTTTCAGAAATCTGAATTTCTCGGAGCTAAAAGCATCTGCACGCTTAGACCCAGATACATATTGTTTTGATAGCTAGACCGTTAACCGTACCAGGTCAACTTTGCGTCATGATATACAAGCCTGAGCGACTCTGAGGACCACTATCCTAGAGGCGTCGAAAACACCCCTAGTTTCCCCGCTTAGCATCCTCTGCCTCATTCTTCGGCACTCCCACAAACGCCGGAACAACAACTGAATTGAGATTCCTAAAAGCCTAGCACCACACAAGTCAGCGATACCCCGCAAGAACACCAACCGCATGCAAACTCACCTTAGCAAAAGGCCCCTCGGGCAACTTCCCATCCCACTTATCCTCCACCCTCACGATCTTCTTCCCAGCATCATCAGTATAAATATTGATCAGGCTATCAATCGTCTGCTCCTTTCCAAGCCCCTTGATTTGATATCTGGTCTTCAGATTCATTGAGATGGGGTTTCCTGCCGAAGTGACGGAGTGGTGCAGCTGTTCGATCTCGGAAAACGCGGTTTGTAGGCCGTACCATTGGGCTTCGTATTGTTTGCGGCCATCGGCTTTGGTGATGGGGTCATTGAACGATGCATCGTCCTATGGTTGTGTCAATGATGAGGCGTGGGAGACAACTCAGAAGTGTGAGAGAGCTTACAGTCCAGAGTTGAAGTTTCTTGAGCGAGGGACGGCCGGCGAAGAGCTGGTAATCGAACTTAGTACATGAAACATTAACCGGAAGAATTAAGAGGGCATTGACTTACATCTAGAACACTGCCTACTAGGAGCTTTTGCTGTGCTGAAAGATACACACCAGCAGCTGTTTGGACATTTGTATTTTCAATACCTAGCTCGCTGGCCGAAGGAGCATTTGTGCCTGCATTTTTCTGCGCAGCAGCAGTAGATGAAGGGACTCCGGTAGACATTTGTCTCAAGCTGGAGGTAAATAACGTGGGCTTTGTTGCTACGCTTCTGATGCAAGTTCTAAGATTTGAAGTTGAGAGAATTGAAGAAGTCATGAAAAAGGATCTTGGTTGAAGAGTTGGAAAAGAGAAGAAAGGTGGCTTTCTGAACGAGATATGATTTCCTTACATACCTTAGCATAACATAGCGTCAACGATATTGTAGACAAAGGCGATAATGGAGTGTATTGACATCATCACTCTAGCGAGGGGAAGGAGGGAGGAAGCGGGAGCTAAAGACAGGTACGGTACGGGTACGTACCGCACGCTAACTCACTTGAGAGGCGATAGATACCCCGCCCCCTTTTCATATGAAAATGATAAAAGAAATTGATAAAGAAACTTCGCATGCTGAATGAATCCTTTTCATATCGAAGATTAATGAAAACCAATTAGAAGGCTATGCTACGTCTCACTTTTCTTTCCCTAATAACTAAACTCCATTTTGTCAAATCAAATTTCCTCCCTTTCTTTGTATTCAAGAAGTCATTCCACCATCATGCTTGACAAGAGCTGCAATCTTGCTTGCTAGGTCGTCTGCCTCGCTTCTCGTGGCTGCCTCCGCATACACCCTGACCGCATCTTCTGTGCCTGAAGCTCTTGCGAACGATCTTCCGTCCTTGAACTTGGATACCAATTGGTCAATCCGGTCCTGTGTGCCTTGAGGTTCAACCAATGTTCTCTCGGCATTGGTTGTCTTGAAAATGTTTCTATTGGCAACCTCAACTCGTACCAATCTGTTGGGGAGGTCGGTATAGGTCAGATCCCATTCCTTGGGAGTCCATGACTTATGTGCCAAGATCGTTTCGACGAGGAGCATATCAGAGAGCGCATCACCAACAGTCTGGTTGATCAAATCTGTAAGTGCGCGAAGAGTTTCCAAAGCACTGGCTTGAGCAGGAGATTCGGGTTCTTTAGTGCTGAAAGCCTTTAGGGCCTGCTGAGAGAACACTACGGTTCCGTGGCCATTCGCTTCAAAGTAGACACCAACGTCGAACTTCGTCGCAGCGTGATGCAGCCACTTTACACCGGTTGGCGTGCAGACAACTGGCAAACCAAGCGTCTTTTCGACATATTTGGTGCTGGCGCCATTTGCATACGCAGTCTGGACAACACCAATCTTGAGCTCTGAAGCGAGTCCAGCTTCTCGGGCAAGGTCACCAATGAACGACGCGGCAAGAGTTGCAATCCGGTCACCGTCAAGAAGACGGAAGCCATGCTCAGGGTCGTTGAAGTAGTAAATGATACGATCGGCATCGCCATCATAAGAGCAACAACGCTCGTTATTACCTGCCTTTGATGTTGGCGGGGCTCGTTGCTTGGTCTTCACATAATCCGCACCGCACTGTAGGGGCTTAGTCTCAGAAGAGAAAAGAGGAAATCTAGTCTTACCTCGTGATTCAGAACCTCAGCCTTCAGTACATCATCATTGATGATTTTGATGTCAACACCACCGTCTGAGCCCGCTGGTATATACTTCACGAGCTCCGCCAACTTCGGGCCTCCAACGCCATTGGCACAATCAACAGTAAGGCTTCCAACAGTCTTTCTTCCCTTCATGGCCCTCTTGAAGGCCTTTCCAAGTTTTTCGTAGTATCCCTTCTCACTGACTTCGCCATATGACTGTGGGGTTCCCTCGGTGTTTGTACATCTCGTCAAGTAATGCAATTGTGGTGTTGTGAGGAGCTTGTAATCGGTGTACTCAGTCCCAGTAGCATTCAAAGCATCAAGCAGCGCTTGAACTAGTTTTGGACCCGATGGCCTCGTATCCCGAGCGTAGATAACCCTAGAGGCTGTGTCTGGGTTGATCTTCAATTTCTCCTCGAGGCTCCTATACACCTTCACAACGTCCTCGTCTTTCGCATTGGCGAGTTCGGTCGAGTAGGCTTCCCAGGAGTTCTCGAGCATCTCGCCCATGGGGTCGACGAGCTTCACGCCATTATCCTCGGGAGGGTTGTGTGATGCTGTGATCATTACACCAATTGTCTGCCCACCGAGCTTTCGGGAGCGCAGCGCAGCGACCAGGCCAACACGAAAGACGACTGAATCGAGGAGGGTGGCTTTCATACGAAACCCCGCAGTTCCATATTGAAAGAGGTGATCGACGGGCTTTGGGTGCTTGCTGGAAGCAGCGAGGATCTTAGAATCCATACTGGCGATTGTGGTGCGATTGTTTATGGAAGAATCGAGGTACCGTATAGCAGTCGCAACTGGAATTGAAGAGGATCGAAAGAGAAGATGAGGGGGGGAAGATAAAGAGAGTAAGAACCAGAGATGAGGGGCAGGGGCCGAGTGAGAGATAGAGAGAAAGATATCCACTCCTTCGTATTTGCTGGCGAATTAGTGGCCGTTGCCAACGTAAATATCGCAAACTGGACAGGCTGAGTTGACAGCTATTTTCAGCTCACCGCTTTTGGGGGCGAGGGGCGGGGTATGGATGATCGTTCATTCTATGCACGTGCTTTCGCGCTCCACATTGTCGCGTCCCATCATGAACCTTGCATTGCTGGTATTTACAACGATCACTACTGTCGAGCCAAACAACCAATTGCTTCACGTCTTTCCGACTATTGCAGCTGCTTTCCCTCTTTGCTTGACCAATACACCCAAACAGTTTTACTTCTTCAACCTTGCTCACCATGGTCGACGAATGCGCCAATCCCCTTTTGCTAGGATGGGTCAAAGAATGGCTCGATCAAGCTCGAGACCGCAATTCCAAGGGTGTCACTGTCTATAAAAAGGCCTATAACTCTTTGAAAAGTTGCCCTTTACCATTTACACATCCATCCGAAGCAAAGCAGCTCACTGGCTTTGGAGACAAGCTTTGCCAGCGTCTGACAGATAAATTGAAAGACCACTGCGAGGAGAATGGCCTTCCAATGCCGCAAATACCCAAGAAGAAGAGGAAACGACCCGCCAATGCCGACCCCAATGAGGACGACGATGGGGAAGGCGATGAAGATGAGGAATCCGCACCAGCCAAGAAGCCAAGGAAAACCAAGGCGTATGTGCCGAAAGTACGTTCTGGAGGGTATGCAATCATCCTGGCTCTCTCGACTTTGGACGAGAATTCCCGGAGTGGTGTAACAAAGCAGGAAGTGATCGAACTGGCGCAGCCTCATTGTGATGCCTCTTTCACAGCTCCAAGCGATACGACAAAGTTCTATACGGCATGGAAGTCGATGGATACACTGAACAAGAATGATCTAGTCTACAAAAAAGGACGACCAGAGAAGTACTATCTGACGGATGAGGGCTGGGATATGGCGAAACGGATGAGGAATACAATTAGTGGCAACGTCGACATTATATCTCCTTCCAAGAAAAAACCTTCTAAGGCAAAGAAAACTTCCTCGAGAGCGGCAGTATCAACCCCTTCACCTTCCAAGCCATTGAAACAAAAAGCGCCATTATCGGCGGCAGCGGCAGCAGGATCAGCAGCCCTAGCACGAAGCAGCCACAATCACGATTCCTTTCGTTCTTTGAGTTCGAGCCCCCTTCGTGGCCCGGCACCAAGTCCATCCGTTTCTCCGACGAAGGCAAAAGTACCGGGCATCATTCCCGATGGACAGCCTGTTGAGTCCGCATCTTCACTCCCAGAGTTCACGCCAATTGTCTTACCACCCGGTTCTTTCACTGTGGAACTTGTTCTCGATATACGCGAAGTCCGATCCAAAAAAGATAGAGAAGGCATACAAAACGAACTCATCTCGAATAGCGTGACTCCCATCATGCGAGCTCTCGAACTTGGCGACATACTCTGGGTAGCGAAAATGAAAGATCCGGGCCTGCTAGCACGTCTAGGTGCAGAAGGAGATGAGGTTGTACTCGACTGGATTGTCGAACGAAAACGTCTTGACGATCTCATAGCCTCTATCAAAGATGGAAGATTCCACGACCAAAAATTCCGTCTTCGCAAAAGCGGACTCAAGAATGTTATCTACCTCATCGAAGAGTTTAGCCTGAGCGCTGAGAATGCGACCGCTATATCGAAGCGGTTCAAACCGCTATTGCTAGTACGCAGGTTGTGAACGGCTATTTTGTGAAGCAGACGCAGCATTTGACGGATTCGGTGCTGTATCTTGCGAGACTGACGAAGATGCTGAAGGGTCTTTATGAGAATAAACCGTTGCAGGTTATTCCTACTAAGGTCATCACTACGCATAACTACCTACCGCTGCTGGCGCATCTTCGTGAGACGAAGCCGGCGGAGGAATTCCATACCACTTACACAGCCTTTGCGTCCCTTTCATCAAAGTCAGATTCGCTTACACTGAAGGACGTGTTCTTGAAGATGTTAATGTGCGTAAAGGGAGTGACGGGTGAGAAGGCTCTAGAGATCCAGAGGCGGTGGAAGACTCCGAATGAGTTTTTGGAGGCTTATGAAAAGTGTGGGGAAGGAGAGCAGGGGAGGAAAAAGAAGATGGAGCTGGTCTCTAGTCAGATGTCAAACATGGTTGGGAAGAAAAAGATTCAGAAGGCGGTAAGTGTTAAAATTGCTGAGGTTTGGGGAGATTTAAAGATAGACTGAGGGCGGAATGTTGGTGTAACAGCTATATATGGAAGCTGTATTCCGGGAGTTCGGTCTTGGGGCGTTGGAAACGGGCTGTACGACAGGAGTACATATTGGTTCGTTAAGGATGAGGGATAGGAAGGCGCTTTAACTGCGAACATTATAGTCACGTTAAGATTTTACCATGTAAAAGTTGTACTTTTTAACGGAAACAAGTCTTCATTTTATTCTTCATGAATATAGAAGCATATACACTCATAGAATGCCTAGCAGCCTCCGCTATGCTCAACCATCTGAACGCCATTAGAATCCGCCAACCAAATCATGAGGCAGCAGTCATCGTCCAGTGAAGAAGCAGCCGTAAAGACATCCCAAAACATATTCAACAAAGGAACCCAGGGTCTGCGCTCTCAGCCGCGAAATAACCCTTCCACCCATCCTCGTCATCCATTCCATATACTGACTGTACTACATACTCGAGTACTAGCACATCTTGTACTCACAACTCCCCTGCGCCTGTCTCGTCGGGTCATCCGTCTGTAACTGGTACGAGATCTTGACATCCAAATCCCGCTTATTCTTTTCATTTGGCTTATTCTCCAACACGCCTCTAATCTGCTCGCCCTGCTCCACCGTCAGCACCTCCCGCAGGTAGAACACCGTTTGCTTCCAGTGCGTGTACTTTGTGTGCGGGCCCGTGCTGAACCGGATCGGCTTGTGGCAGGCGGTGAAATCGATGTCGAACCACGCGATCAGCGCATGCACGAAGTCGCTGCGGCGGCAGTCGAGCACGAAGGGCGAGGAGAAGGCTAGGTCGGCTGTTGTGCAGGTGTAGAGGTCGAGGGTGAGCACGGCGGTGGGATCGGTGACGACGGCTTTGATTTCGACAGTGTCGACGAGGGGTTCTGTCAGGGCTGTGTGCTTGAGGGGGGAGTAGTCGAAACCGTAGACGTTGTCCCAGACTGGGGAAGACAAAGGTAATCAGCAAAAATGTTACTAAAAAAGGAAGCAACGAAGGGAATTTTGAGGCTAGGAAAATAACTCACAGCCAATCTTCTCATCCTTGTACTCTCCATCCTCAATACCAGCCATGAAGATGGTAGCCTTGTCAGGGAAGATCAATCCATTTGGCGCCAGATACTTGTCGCGCGCATACAAGACAGTGTCGAGCATAGACTCGTACAGCAGGAAGTAACCCATCCACTCTGAGATTATGATATCGACCTTGGGGAATGGCAGCTCCACCTCTTCCATCTTTCCTTGTAGTAGGGTGATCTTGTCAGACATGCCATTGACCTCGACAATCTCTTTGGCTTTTTCAATAATCGTGGACATGTCGACACCGATTACGTGCTTTGCACCCGCCTTGACGGCAAACCTGAGTTTTCAATTTATCAGTACCGCAGCCTTACTTTTGTTTGATTGATGCTTTTAAAGAGTAGGGTGTAAGTAGACGCACATAGAGAGGATGGCAGTGCCGCAGCCGACATCGAGAACGACCTTGTCCTTGAACAGGTGCTTGTTCTGCACAATAGCATTCATGTACGAACGTGTCCGGACCTCATCTTTCTGCTCGAGTCAGTGGGGTGCTTGGAAGGCGAAGGGAAGCAAAGCATCTTTGCAGGTACACACCAACATTTCTTCGTGGATGCCTTTTTTCCTTTCATTAGTAGATTTTTTGGGGTTCTGATGTGGCTCTGGCACATACCATGGTGGTTATAGCTGGGTTATCGTCAGTATTTCCTCCTCCAAAGGGATGTTGGGCATGAACTCACGAGTTAAAGTAATGTACTTCGGAATGGTCCATTCCCTTCATTGTTTCGTCCGCCATGATGGCAGTATGTATCGAAGGAGAGTACGCTGGCAGTGACTGGGAGAGGAGAGGAGGACTAGGAGGGAGGATGAGGGATGAGATAAATATTATACTGTAGGGTAGTTATGAGGCAGCGGTCAAATATGATATGGACCCTGGATTTTTAGTGCAGGGGATTTTTCAAAATTCTGCCCGCGACCGCCCTTGCGCTCTGTCCGAAGAAATTCACTCCATCACAGGTTAAGGGCTTTTATATGATAAAAATCTCTGTTTAAAGATCAGAATTTACCTACGCTGGGTTTCGTAATCCATAGAGATATTACATAATTCTATCTGATAAAAAGAAGTACAGTATCTGGCGATTGTTTTGTATACCAGCTTCGTTCATCACGTGAAGATATTGAAAATGTAAGAGTAATTCTCCGAGGCTTCGCCGTATGAACATTGCACTAATACAATATGACAAAACTCATTGGGGAAAAGCTGAGATAAGATGTAAAATAAGAAAAAATTGGCAAGCAAAAAATAGCTCTTGATTCTGGACCCATAGTTGTACATATTGAATATTAACCCCTATTCTCACCTTATGTTAGTTGGTTGGTCCAAAAAATAATTATATTATATTCACATTCTCGCTTAGCTTAGCTTTGGTGCCCGCCCGCCGTCCGCCCACACCACACTCTGATCGCCACCTTTGTGTGTTTGCTCTCTTTTCTTCCAATTTCAAACCGCCATACAACCCTCCAACAATATCACCCCCCCCCCCCCCCGAACATCAGCCAACCATCCATTCGCCCGTCACGTGTGATCTTGCAGCGACAGATCACTATTGCTTTGCCTTAAACACATTGCTACGATCTCGAGAACGGCGAGGAAATTTAATTTGCGGGGTAGCAGTTGGGGTATTGAGGCACCATGGGTCGAACACCAGCAAAACCTATTCCCCAGAAGCGGGACAATCCCCTCAGAGGCAGGAGAGAACCCATTAGAGCTCCGACCATCTTCACTCAGAGGGCTGAAAAGGCTGCCGCGGCCATTTTGAACGCGAAGAAATCCCAAACGGCAAAACCAAACAGCTGCGGTGATCAAACTTGCACCAACTCGGTTATTGTAGACGGCGTTTGCATAGGCTGTGGTAAAGTGGTTGAGGATAACAATATCGTTGCCGAAGTCCAGTTTGGCGAGTCTGGTAGTGGCGCTGCTGTTGTCCAGGGTAGTTATATAGGCGCTGATCAGGGCGGTGCGCGCTCTTCTGGACCTGGCTTTCCAAGAGCTGGCGGTGGTAGTGGAGAAGAAGGGAGAGAGTCTACGGTTAGAGAAGGTAATCTTTCAAAATACTCTTTACCTTGAGACAACCAAGGCTAACTGTATGTTCTAGGAAAGCGCATTATGCAATCAATGGCAATGCAGTTCGAGATTAAATCCGCTACCGTTGACATTGGTTGTCAGATCTTCAAACTTGCGGCTATGAATAACTTCGTCCAAGGTCGTCGTATGGATGTCGTCTGCGGTGTCTGTTTATACAGCGCCTGTCGCCAAGAAAAGCGATGCAATGTAATGCTTATTGACTTTGCCGACCGGCTTCAGGTCAATGTCTTCAAGCTTGGTCGCACTTTCAAAGCACTACATGCCGCCGTTTCCATTGCCAAGAACGGCATAAATCCCGTTCTTCCAGAGGATTTGATCTGGCGATTCGCATCGAAACTTGAATTTGGCAGGGACTGCAATAAAGTCGCCGAAGATGCAATCAGAATGGCCCAACGTATGAGTCTGGATTGGATGGTTATGGGAAGAAGACCATCGGGAGTCTGCGGAGCTTGTCTCATCTTGGCAGCCCGTATGAACAATTATCGTCGGTCTATTACAGAGGTCGTCTACATTGTCAAAGTCACAACACACACAATTCAGAAGCGTCTAGATGAGTTCAAGATGACTCCTAGCAGTGCTCTCACCGTCGATGAGTTCCTCAACAACGAGTTCTTGGAATCCTCCCACGATCCGCCGTCCTTCTATGAACAGACCGACGACTTCCAGAAAAACAAGAAGAGAAGAAAGCGCAAACGCTACGGCCACGACGGCCTTGAAGGTGTAGGAGAGGATGATGATGAAGCAGAAAGCGTTGATGATGAAAACCAGGGGCACAAGCGCCAGAGAACCGGAGCGACTTCGAACCCAGAGCATGCACTTCCAACTATCGAACTTCGAAGAGATGCGGATGGTTTCGCAATTCCACCACCACCAACCCAGTCCTCTTCTCAATCCGAAGGAACACGCCAAGTTGACCAATCCTCTGATATCCCTATCGATCCAGATTTGGTTGATGAAATCATTGCCGATCATACAGAAACATCTTTCCAGAGACTTGTTGAGAACTTTGGCGATGCCGGTACCAATGATGAGACTCCTGCTGGCTCTGTGTCCGGCTCTATCTCTAAGCTTCAAGGAGTGCAGGGAAATCGATTTGTATACGTCCCGGACGAATGGGCCACTGATGAGAATGAATTGGCGCAGCAAATGTCCGAGATTATCTCAGACCCCTCAACAGTTGAACACGCCACCGAGTACGCCGCAGCGGAAAAGCGCGTGGCCAAGCACATGGCATTGGCTATGATATCGCAAAAGATCATCCCTAGTGCGCCAACAATTGGAGAAGACGAGTTTGCCGACGACCCCGAGGTTCAGAACTTCATCCTTTCCCCAGAAGAGGCCGCAAAGAAGGAGAAGGCGTGGATTAATCTGAACAAAGATTGGCTTCGAGCACAGCAGATCAAGGAGTACCAGAAAAAACAAGAAGCCAAAGGTCCCCCAAAGGCGAGGCGCATTCGAAAGAAGAAGCCCCGTATCGGAGAGGGTCAGACGAGTGTTGCTTCTTCGCCTGGAGAAGCTGTCGAGGGTGTGATGAAGGCGCGGGGCTTCTCCCGCAAATTCAACTACAGTGCTTTTACAGACATGTTTGCGGATGATGGTCTTGGAAGCGCAGCCACCAGCCGGGTCGCAAGCCGTGCTGGAAGTGAGCTGGGCGGATCGACTCCTGCGTCAAATGCGGTTACTCCAGCAGCATCGGTCGCAGGAAGTGCGCCAGCTACTCCAGCTGCCGATGCGGACAGCGAGATGGGTGATCCTGACGATTATATCGACAATCCGGATGACTACGTCGATCCCGATGCAGAGGGGAGTGTTCAGGCGGAAAGTGTAGCTGAGGATACAGAGGATTGGAAGAAGCAGCTCGACAACGGGGATGCCAATCAAGATGGAGATGAAATACCAGAGGATGATACCGAGTATCCAGATCTTGGATTTGGAGATGAAAGTCATCCGTTTGACGAGGAAGATGGTGCTTTTGATGGTCCTGAGGATTTCGATAACTAGTGAAGGAAGTTGAGAAGTTTTTATTAGGGTGTGAGATGGGATCAGATGATGGAAATGGAAAAATAAATGGGAGGAGTACATGGCGTTGATTAATGGTGTTTACGGAAGGGCTTTGGGATACTTGTACTGTACTATACGATGGCATTCCAGCAAGCCAACGAAGATACCCCGGGATCATACACCAGATACAGAAGGCCAGCAGCTCTGGCTTGTAATAAATAACAGAAATCTCATTAGCAAAAGTCATGGTCAGGTGGACTTTAAGTCGTGAGGCATAACAACCATTCCATACCTACCTTATACTTGTAGATATACATAATCTACTCCCCTGAAAAGTCCAAAGCCAATCAACCATCAAGAGTGGTAAAAGTTGCACGTGCCGCACTATCCCAAAGAGGGCATGGCACAGAAACTGCATGTCATGCAGTAGTAGTCACCAAAAGCAGCACTCATAATCGCCAATTCAGGTATTCCACTTAGCTCGGCGCATCCCAAACCAATGCCGCTTTTTCGAGCTCGGCCAGGATTCAAACGTCACGTCAATCATAAGCGATGCGATGCGATGATCCACAGGAATTCAGGTCCGAGCACCGATTTATGGGGCCCAGACCAGAGTGAGCTCCATGCCCGCGCCCGCGCCCGGCTCCCAGAGTCCCCCTCACATCATCCAGCTCAGCTCTGCCCTGCCCTGCCCTGCCTTGCTTTCCCTCCCTTCCGTCCATCCATCCATCCATCCATTCATCCATCCATCACCCCTTCTTCTTCAACCTCAACATTTAACTCTGAAAACCAATTGACAATTATATCAAACATGTCTTCCAGGAGAAAGAAGGACGAAGAGCTTGTCGCTCTGCCAAGCGACGAATCCGAGGAGGAGGAAGAGTGAGTGCTGCTTATCCATCCACCATTCCACTCTGATCATCGCAAATACTTTCCATGGCTTCAATTGGGGTCGCTGCAGCTTCGAGTATCGTTGCAAAGCTTAACCACAGCTGGAATAGATGATAAGTGCCATCTATTGCCACCACGGCCTTATTATCAGCCCAAAATATGATATCGTCATTGTTGTTTTAGCCTGAAAGCTCAAGCTAATATCGATTGTCTGATCAGATACGAAAGCTCTGATGGCGGACCTCCGATTGAGGACGACGATGAGGAGAGTGAGGAGTCGGATGAAGATCCAGAAGATGATGAGGAGGAAGTTCCAGAGGGTATGTATTCCATGCGCCACTTATATCCTTGGCATTGTATTCGCATATACATCTCCTGTGGCTTTGATTTGAGCATTCCAAGCTAATGCGATCAAACAGAAGCTCCTTCATCCAAGAAAAAGCGCAAGGCCGCTCCTGAAGATGCGAAAGAGGAGGCTCCTGTGAAAAAGAGCAAACCCACGCCCGGACACCCGGAGCCCGACGACCTGAAAGACGGTGGGGACTTGGACGAGGATGAGAATCCAGCAGTCCCAGCTACTTCTTCGGAAAAGAAAACCGCAAAGGCAATTGAGCCAGAAGATGACGATTTCGAAGAGGTAGATGAGGTTGCGGCTGGCGAGGAAGATTCTGAATGAACGCCGCCTTGCGCTATGAAGAAATGATAATGGGATTGGAAAGGAAGGAAACGGAGCTTGGGAGGATTGATTTGTTGAAATACCTGGGATGGAGAGAAAACGAAAAGGGAGTTGTAGAAGCGGCTATAGCGGCTATCTGCTTTGCTCTAGATCTCCTATGCAATCCAAAAGTTTCCTGTCTCGCCCATTAATAGATCAGATCCTAGTTCTATGCGGCTGAAGGACCAGCGTCCGAATCGTGTAAGCATTGCGCAATTTGCATTGACAGATCGGAGCGCAGGGCCAATGCTTGCACCTATTGTTTCAGACTTGTCTGAAGACGTTTCCGCAGTACGGAAATGAGAGATAAGACTATCGGCAATTCCCTTCAAGTTTTTTATGTTGAATTGTTGAACTCTTTTTTTGTTGATAGCTCATTTTTTAGCTTTGGCTTTCTATAATTCTGTCGGGGTTTGTACTGCGAAGCGGGTGTACTGAGGAATCACGTACCTGGTATCAGGGACGACGTTTCACACTCAAGCATCACAAGTTCCTTCGTCGTCACTAAATACTTGCTGGATCGAGGAGACCCCTCATCTCACTCTTGATCGTCTAGCAGTTGCATTGAACTGTCCGTCTCTTTCATCAGGAACAAGCTGGAACGTTGTTTGCCCTTTTCCACATATCCATCAACATGGCCAGACGTTTCTCACAGCTGTTCATAATGTCCCCGTGGAGCAATACCTCAGCACCATTATTCCTCTCTAATGCCGACTATGATGTCCTACCGTCGGAGGATCTCTGTTCCAAGAAAGGAAGAAAACGTGACACAATAAAGGACTTCGCAGCCCTCCTCTTCGCTGGCGGCCGTCCTCGACTATCCAAAGATCGGCCAGCAGTGAAAAACGCACGTCCTCTCCCTTTAATATCATCAGAACCTCCTCTCTCCCGCCACGATTCAGGTCTCGGCTCCGAGAAGTCCTCCACCACCTCCATCACAAACCTCCCTATCCAATCGCCCCAGTCCGCCCTACCCTCAGATCACTACCATGACCTCCAAATCCTCATCCAGGCCCTCGAAATCCTACTCCAGAACCAAGACGCAATGTCCCACAGCGTCGCAAAGAACCTCCTAGGCCTCATGGCCGTAAAAGAGCTGCACATCAAAGCCAACCGACGGCTCCAACCAGAGTGGAAAGCCGCCCTGCTCAAGGAAATGAACGCCTTGCGCGACGAACTCTGCGTGCTATTCGCCAGGAAAGCTACCGTGCAGCGACGAAGCCTGGGCTTACTCTCGAAACTAAAACTCGGCGACGGAGGATGTAGAGTGGAGGTTGAGGCTGCCTTGAGCAGGGTTAGGAGAGATATTGTATATCAGGGGATACTGTCCGAGGGCGTCGTTGATGCGATTACGAGCAAGTGCTGGAAGAGTCGGTGGGTAAAGAGTACGAATCATGGGTTGGAGACGAAGCGGTTTGTGGGGTTTGTCGTTGGGAGGGTGAGCAAGCTGCATGCTTTGTCGAGGGAGGTGGAGGGTGTGATAGAGGGAATACAGAGGTTGAATGGAAGGGCGGATGCAGGCGTGTTAGGTTGATGCTTAGAAGGTAGGGTTTGTGTTGTAGACTTATGATACCACGATGTTATGATGGAGTAATTGAATTGGGAGGGGGACGGGGTAGGAGTTCTAGGCTGTTAGCGAGGAAGGCACGATCGTCTGTCTTTGCAGAGTGTTCGAAGCGCACCCACCAGGTCCATACAGTGAGAAAAGATTATCATATCGATCTCGACAAGATGCAGCTTTGGTGTATTTCAAGAACACTTCCATTTCCCTGCTCCTGAGATTCTCGCAAGTGCAACTCGAACCAAACTTAGGCGCTCAAGAGCGATGTTTTCGATTCGAATACAATACATCCATCCCTAAAGTAGTTCCGTTCCTGTTGGTCTGTCAGTCAGCTTCAAACAACCATTGGTGGTAGGGACAAGTAAGTGAATTTTCACTCATCATCCATACGACTGCTGCTCCGAATAATTGACAAACAGAGCGCTGATCTGATCTGGTCTGATCTTTCCGATCCGATCTGAAATACAGATCCCAGTTACTTGATCTCGATCTTAAACTCTGATCTTGCTTGGCAGGCGGCGTACAACAAACAGCCTTAATGAGATGACCGGAATGAATGGAGCCCAAGCTCGAGCCCGAAAGTTATCACACATATATAGGTACGCAACACGGGGTTTCTCCTGCTGTTCTAGACCTCGTGTTAAATCTTGATACTAGCCTATACCTATCCATACCTAGGTAGCTTGCAAGTCCGAAGCTCGGTGAAAATGTATAATAAATAGCTCGCCTAAAACCTACCCCTTTTTACTTGCTTCAAAGTGATCTCAAAAAACCTAGAGAATACCTTGCAGTAAGTAGAACTTTCTACGAATACTGAAGCATCCAGTATAGACAATTGGCGATAGAAACCTACCATAGTTCCAGAGATTAGGGGTTTGGTGCCATTACTTCGGCGATTTGCAGGTCAGCCCTGAATTCCCACGATCAAAATGTCAGGAACCAACGGAAGCAGTCATGGCGCGAGAGATTATCTCTGCTCCATACGCTTACTAATAGATAATACAATTTAATGTATGTCAAAGTGTTATAACATCGTATAGTATTGGAATTGAACACATACCTACAAAGAGAGAAAGATGTACTTTGCCTAGCTACCCGTAACCGCATTCGGTTATATTTCCCCCATATTATAAATTCAAGGCATGTTATCGCATGACGGCAGTGGCTAGGGATAGACAAAGACATGACAGTATTGCCTTTGGTGAGTCGGTGGCGAATAGGTTTGGGACTGGGACTATTTTGTCGACTTCTGTATTTCTCTGTTTGCCAAATAGAGGCAGCTTCTATTGGTTTTTCAAGAACAACCATCTCACAATGTTAAACCTAGATGGAGATGAAACTCGACTGAACATTTCCAGCGTTCATTCAATGTTTACACTGCTGTGCCCATGCGATGGTTGGAGTTGGAAACATCGTTCTGTCTGATGTGACGGGATTCGAGGACACTGTTACAAGAAGTATGCGTAGTTGGAATATGATCTACCAAGGAGAATAAAATCTGGGCCGTTGGAGAAACGATTTGCAAAGCGTATAGCGCCCTCGATGGGTCATAAGAGGCTATTGCAAACATTCAACCATCACAATGAAAATCGGTCTTACTCTTGACGTCTTTCCGAGATAATGTAAAGTGTTCTTCGATTTCAGGACAACTGCGCTGCTGAGAGAAACTGTCCGTCGCGATTGATACTATTGCCGTAGATAATTATTGATTCCTTGAGCCCTGCTGGACTAAATATCTCACGTCTACTGAGATATACTTAGTATAAAAGCAAATAAACCATTGCCATATGCTTCAAATTGAAATTGATCCCAGCCATCGCCGTGCAAAAAGATAATATGCGCGCCAAGTTATAGACGTACGGAGTACAGTACATGTTGAGATAGGTGCACTTGGCAGAGGGTCCTAGCAACTGCCGTGTATACTGTATTGCAATACATTATCATAACGCTGACACAAGGATAACAATCAGCAGAAACGTTTTCTTATCGTCTCGCCACTCAAGAACACTCGTCCTGATTACGCGGGGATACAACTTCCATACACGCCACTTGGATCCAATTGGAATGGGTGACCGAGTCGATGAAGGAGATATCGGCGTGATGGTGGAAATGTTTTCTGAAAACGGTAATGTATTTTAAGCGCTGCTCCACACCCTATCGAGGATCCGGACTTCAGGAACTTCCGTACGAATCAGGTGGCGAGTAATGACGGTTTTCGATAAGTACTTTGTACCCTCCAATCTTTCCCCCACGTCCAGACAAGGCTGGCTGCTCATAGTGGAGTGTACCTTTGGTGTCGCAGAGCCTCGAGAGTCGAGAGTCGAGATACGAGGCTGTGCCTTCAGTTAACGGCCCTATACTGTACCTTGCGCTTAATCTTGCACGCCACGCCATGGGTTTCAGATTACAATAATCTATTTGGTATTCGATCTCTCCATCTTCGAGGAATGCAGGACCAGTTCTCGTTAGATGCTGCACAACATAGGCGCACGCGGCCCTCGAGTTTCAAGGAGCCGTAACTCGTCCAGTAGGCATCCATCCAGCCAGCCAGTAGACGGAAATATGTTATTTTCAGGAAGTTGCTGTTGCTGGGTCTTGAAATGAAGCGATTCTTGCGTGGGTGATTATGTAGTGTCGTGAGTTTCGTTAGCAGCCGGTCTGTTTGGAGGATATGCCATAGTATTTATGAAGACTCGAGATCCTCCATGATTGAAAATTTCGAATTTCGAATTGTCAACGAGTAAGTTCCTCGGTGATGCCGGTGCCCCGCTATGCAGGCCATGCAGCCCATTTCAGGCATTTCAGTCCAGTCAACCCCACAACCCGCCCGGCTGATGCACCAGATCGCCGGGACTTATCCACGATATAGCAGTGTTATTGGCCACTGGCTGGGCTGAGAATGCACTATGACCACTATCCGAGGCATCTCCAGGCAAGGTCCAGGTTCGGATGGGGTAGCTTACCGTAGCTGCTTCGCATCTCTTTCTAGAACCCTTACTACGGAGGGCCCCTACCTGCCTGTAGGTACACTACAGTACTAAAAGGCCGCCCTACCCTACCAGTAGTGGAGTGACTCGCGTGGGTACTCCTAGCCATCAGCCCATCACCGACTCGTATCGCAGTACCGTTGTAGAGTAGACTCGGCCCTCTAACAGACTAAGCACCATACTATCACTGGATGGGCAGTATCCGGGTCTCTATCGGGGGGTTTTTTTTTCTTCTTGACAATTACGTAAATCCGATTGACGATTGTGTTGAATTTTCACACTATCTTTAAGCTCTCCCCTATTACCAATATCTGCAGCCTACACGCAGGGACGATAGATGATGGATGGATGTACTTGGTACGGGGGGCAACGCATGTACTTCGTACAGTACTCCGTACAGTCAGTACAGTAACCCTCGCAAACAAGCTTCCCCCTACTTCCATGCAGCTTATCTTCTTGGGGGGGTGTTTTGTGGGTCGGGATGCATATCCTACACTGGTCGGATTGCGTCGCGTGCAAGGAATGCTTCTTATCTCGCCCGCATCATCCTGAACTTTTGGGCTTGCGGGGGCCCAATCTTGCCTTTCGTCTCGTCCCGTCGGTCTTAGCAGAAGGTTTGTTTTCACCCTAGTACAATATGTATTTGCTCCGATAAAGTCTAACGACTCGGTACTGGAGTACTTCTCTCTTCTTTTTCCTCTCTTTTTTCTTGTTGTTCTCGCCTTCAATTCATTCGCCCACCCCCCGCCCCCCTCCAACCGCAAGAATTGACGAGACGAACTCAAGCCTACCATGGCGGAAATAAACAACGATGTTGCGCAGGACCTGCGTCCTTCTACGGGAGAGCTCACCCATCGTAAAAAGAGTCTGGTACAAATCAGCAGTGCAGATGGCCACAAAAAAACCGTCAATCTGGGGGACTTGAGCGAGGCCGATGCCCAACTCGCTGAGCAGTTTGGTTACAAGCCCGTCTTCAAGAGAGAGTTTGGCTATCTCTCGACCTTCTCCTTCGCCGTCAGTATCAGTGGTCTGTTCTCAACGATTATGACCACCTTCATCTATCCACTGGAAGCTGGAGGATCTGCTGCTGCAGTTTGGTGTTGGTTAATCTCGGGTGCGGGTTGTATGTGCATTGCTGTGAGTTTTGTCCTTGGACTTATTAGCATTTGACAAGACCGTTGCTGATAATTGGAAGTGCTCTGTGGCCGAACTAGTCTCCGCCTACCCCACGTCCGGAGGATTGTAGGTCTTTCCCCACTCAAACGTTGTGCCCAAAATGTTTACACCGGCTTAGATACTTTACTATATCGCGACTTGCGCCGGAACCCTGGGTTCCTTCCCTGAGTTGGTGAGTCTACACACCCGCGGATTGCAAGAGTGTTAAACTAAGGGATTTTTAGGGTAACTGGCTGGATCAATCTTCTGGGTCAGATTGCTGGTGTCGCTTCCTCGGAATATGGAGCTGCTCAGATGCTTCTCGCCGCCGTATCAATTGGGTCTGATTTCCAATACGAAATTACCACCAATGTAACCGTTGGTGTCATGGCAGCTCTGACAGTCTTTACTGGACTCGTCAACTCCCTGTCAACCTACTGGATGGAGAAAATGACAAAAACCTATGTGATCTTCCACGTCTGCATCTTATTATCTTGTGCGATTGCCCTATTGGCAAAGACTGAGAACAAACATGATGCCAAATATGTCTTCACCCATGTTGAATCTTCCTCGGGATGGACTCCCGTCGGCTTCAGCTTCTTATTTGGGTTCCTCTCGGTCTCATGGACTATGACGGATTATGGTGAGCCAAACTTGGTACACGTGACTTTTTGCATGCTAACAGTGAACTCCCAGACGCGACTGCACACATCACAGAAGAGATTTCCGAGCCAGAAGTCAAAGCTCCTTGGGCCATATCACTTGCCATGGCCTTCACTTACATTGCTGGTTTCCTCTTCAACATAGTTTTATGTTTCTGTATGGGTGATCCAGCTGAGATCCTCGCAAGCCCTCTCGCTCAACCCGTTGCTCAAATCTACTACAACAGTCTCGGCAAAGGCGCCGGTATCTTCTTCACGGTCTGCGGATTCATCATCATCAAATTTGTTTGCTTCACCGCCATGCAGGCAGTAGGTCGGACCGTCTTTGCATTTTCCCGTGATGGCCTGATCCCATTTTCCCACGTCTGGACGAACATAAACTCGAAGACTGGAACCCCAATTTATGCCATTTGGATCTGCGTGTTCTTCTCTATCGCCATCAACTTGATTGGTCTTGGATCGTACGCTGCCATCTCTGGTGTTTTCAACATCTGCGCTATTGCTCTTGACTGGAGTTACATCATCCCCATTCTCTGCAAAATGTGCTTTGGAAAGTTCAAGCCGGGACCATGGCACATGGGACCCTTCAGCACAATTGTCAACGCCTGGGCGTGTCTCTGGACACTCTTCGTATCCATCATTTTCCTCCTGCCCACCGCCATGCCTGTGGAGGCTGACACCGTAAGTCATATCATATCTGCTCTTCAGTCAAACTTCATCCACTAACATATATTTAGATGAACTATGCTTGCGTATTCCTGGTTTTCATTCTCCTTTGCGCTGCTGCCTCATGGTACATTAGCGGCCGGAAATACTACACGGGTCCGGTCGTCGAAGCTCACGCCGAGGAAGAGCATTCCGAAAACGAGGTTCCGTCTCTTCGGAAGAAGGAGACGGAAGTTTGATAAGTCCTTTACCGGCCAACAAAATAGAGGGATATCTCAAAACCCGAGTTTTTTTGTATTTGGATTGATTGTATATATACGTTTATTCACAAACAAATACGTTAAGCTTAGCATGTATCTCATATGAGAGATCTTGTTATAGATGTTTTGTTCTATATCCTCTGAGCTCGGTTGAGAATGATACCCCTACCTAGATTCTAATAACACTTACTTGCCTCGGACTTCATTTCCCTAAATGTATAAAGCATTTGTCAGACACCTTCTCTTCCAACAAGTCCAGGCCTACTGGTCAGAGACCGCCGGCTTAAGTACGCGTAGTAAAAATCGGGTCATCTAGTCTAGTATACCATCACCATCCCCTTTATAGATATCCTTACTCTCCTCCCCATTTCTCCCATCTTCAATTTCATTCCATTTCATCCTCTAGCCCTCCAAAACCCCATTCCACTCACTCCACCCCCCCCCCCCCCCCAAAAAAAAAACGGGCGGGGAAGTGATTTGAGAGGATGGGTGGATGGGTTTGGAGACACGTATGCTGTGGCGCGCTTATACGACCGGTTTCTGGGGGATAATGGATATGGTAATAAGACGGTTGGGGATACTGTTCGCAGCCCGCTATGCTTGTTGGCAGGTGTAACTCGTGAGGACATTTATTGGGTTGGAGTTGGGTTAGGTGGGAAGGTATGGTATGCTTGTTTCGTGTACTCGATATGGATCAGGAGAAAGGCGGAAACTCCGTGTTGAGATATCTGAGAAATATTCATGCTTTTTGTTCGTGTAGATGGCGTTGTGTAGGTGGAGTTGTTAAGGCCAGCTCCAGACAGGTGGATATTAGTTCTGTACCGTTCCATGCAATCTTTCGCAATTTAATTGTCTCAATGGTATATCGAGATGCTCGATAAATCGCAGTTAGTTCCCGGGGATCTCTGCACATTTCTCACATCTCTTCAGGCTGCTGATGACAAGTCACGTTGTCTTTTAGAATGTGACGAATATCACATTGAACCGATTTACGAAGCTAAGGCCAAGCATCTCAATAAGCAGGCTGAGTATAAGTTTTAATTTCAGGTATTACTATCCTTAACTCCGTTCCGTACTCTCTACGCTGAAGTGCTGCAATTTTTAAATTCATCTTTATCCATCTACCGCCATCATCCGCCAGTCCCCAAAAGAGACAGCCTATGCCATACCCCGTATAACCACCCCACGCTTCTATTGCGAATGTTTATCAGGAAGGCACTCTGGCTTAATCCCTACTTCAAACTGCTTGCCAGAAACCCAAAATCCAGCGGCTTCGATGATCCGACAGACAGCATCAAGCTCCATACGGTTCCTGGGGGCGTACACCATGACAAACTCACGAGGAACATAGGCTTTCATCCAGCCGCCCCTCGCAAGTGGGTGTCGTTCGCCCCAACCCCTTTCTAGAATCAATTTGGCGTCATCAGGATGCAAGTTCAAGTGCAGGCTTCGATCACTGTGATGGACGTGACAGACTTCTCCTCTGCACGTGGCGTTGATGGGGTCCCTGGCAAAAAGGGCAAGGCCCTTCTTTTCGAAGCATGATGTACCGATTCGGAAGGATTCGGGGTTCTGGACGGCGAGGTTTTCGAGGCTGGCACGAAGCATCTGATACATCTTCTTGCACCCAGGTTGATCCAATTGCCTCTGGGGAGCGATGCCAGCGATCTTAGGGCGGGAACCACTTCGAAATGGAAGCCAGGACTGGACCCTCTGGTAATAGCCAGTGGTTGGGTAAATACTCTCGGTAAATGTTGCTGGCGAGTAGGGATCCGAAAGAGCGAAGAGACGGAGATATGTGATTTTCAAATAGCCAAGAAAGGTTGCAGGCGTTCCCCCAGGCCCAAGTGATAAGAAGTTTTGGTAATCGTTGTGAATAATCCAAGGTACTGGAGCCAGTACGAGAAGGGTGCAGGTAAGAGATGGCTGCAGAATTTGAATGCCGATGATGATAGCAATGATAGAGAGGACCAGAGAGGGGCCGGTCAGGGTGATCTGGACAACTGACTGTTGAGTTATGCACACCGTGATCTCTGATTGCTGATCTGGTTCCTGGGTTATGACTTGAGTAGACATAGCTGAGTTGGAGGCATCCATGATCTAGTAGTCGTCAGTAAAACCAAGCCCCGAGGAGCTGATGGAGAGCCAACCTTCTTGCTGGTCGAAGTGGATGGAAGGGACCGTGGCGCCTGTCACATCAAATAACTTCAATGTCGAACAGGACGAGCAAGCGTTTGGAGTCTTGGAGAAGGGAGTTTAGGCGGTCACAAGAACGAGCAAAGATTGAATAGGGGCGTGGGACGTTAGGATGTTCTTTGGATTCTCAACGGCTGGTTGGCTACAGCCAATAGTGGAATGTCTTGACGTCTAATAACGGCAATCCGAGGCACACTACACCATGAAGTGATCCTTTTGAAGACCGAAGACTGAAAGACATCCGAGATAGATATCCCTAATAGGAAATCTCAGTCATAGGCTCCCTCGGAAAGAATGACAGAAAGTGAGGAAGTGAAGTGAGGAAGTGAAGGTACATGAGTGTCAGAGAGGGGAAAGAGTAAATGAAAGAGGGAGAAGTTTAGTTTGTTTTTAACGGAAAGTTAATATGACAGTGAGTTGTTGACTGTGGACCTGGCTGCTAATCACCAGACTGTGACATCAGCCCATCAGTATAATACCTTTCGCTGAATGGCCCAACCGGCAGGAACGGTGAACCATCGCCAGCGAAACCGGGGCCAGTGGCAGCAGTCACGAGGGTGACGTACAATTATATTTCGGTGGCGGTTTGAAAGCGAGAGTGCTCATTGGCTCAGCCACCCGAGCTCTGATTGGGTCGGAAAGAGTTACGGGGACTGGGGAACGGGGAACACCAACTCACTGAAGCCTATTCTTCCTACACTTTCACTCTGTACTATACTACACTACCACTATTCCCAACGAACAATAAAACAACAGCTAGTATACACGCCTGAATCTCCATTGGTTTCCAGACACCCTGATTCAGGTACCAGAACCCCCATGGGCCAACGGGATGCGTACCTAGGTAGCAGCTATCTGAGTTTGCAGTCAGACGAAGTAGAGCGTGCCACATACATGGCTACCCCCGCCCGTACCTCTTAGCGACCATACAACCCCTCACTTTTGCTGGCATACATCGCACCGCATCGTCGCATCGCCAAACAGCGTAGTATCTTGGTCAACTAAGGTACAGTACCTGCAGGTTGCATGAAGCAATACTTATAACAATATCACGATGCCGACAACGGCCGGATTGATGCACTTATCAATTCGTTGAGTGAGTTCGGAAAGTACGGTGTCAGGTTTCCCGAGATAACTGTCTTGGCCTAAAATGCCCTTCTTGTCCAATCAGAAGAAGTTGCTGTTCTTGAAGCAAGCAGCATGCGTCTTGACTTGATGCATGATTGCTATACATCCCGACTAGGGAATCGATAAATATGTGTTATATTACCTCTGTACTAAAAACTATAAACAATGTTCTTTTCATATATTGCGAATCTGTATATAGCACAGTATCACGTGCTTCTATACGAGCCTACATAAGTATTAATAAGCCTGTAATTACAATATTGCATTATAAGACGTCTAATCCTAAGTTATATATATAATATACCAGGTAGGTCAGGATTATATTAGAGGGATGTTGGTGCACGTGATATTCAACGTGACTTATCGCCTTTTGATCTAGACTTATGTACTGTAGTGTATGATGCCTTGTAGTCTATCTTGTTGATAACGTATAAATTTATGCATAGAAGTTTATCCCTTCTCATTTATATTTTTAGAGATTATTATCACTGGTTCTACCGTCCACTTCACCCTGTTGCGCCATTCTTCACCCTGAACAAATCAGATTCGAGTCTGTAGACTGCCAAGTCGGTTAAAAAGGGGAGATCACATGTAATTTGCTGCAGTGTACCTAGCTAGGCAGGTATAAAAAGCGGCATGCATTTTACTGTCCCACTCCGCCTAACACAAGATTAAGTGGTGCCGCTTTTCTATCCCATGCGGAAGGTGGAGCGACCGACGGTTTTGCCTTTATTCAGGGGTTGCCTGGCAACAGATAACAACAACAACACTATCACTACTTTTCCTTTTCCTGTGATATCACAATCGTGCTATACAATACAATAATAACAAGTTACGAGGTATTCTATGAAGGCCTTCCGAGGATCTTGCTTTGAAAAATCCGATTATTTACTTGGGAATCCTCCATCTGCTATCGCCAGTAGTACCGTCGCTCAAAGACAAACTCCAACATTCCAACTCGACCCTTTAGTTGCAATTGAGCTCCTCCTATGATCGAAGCAAGTACACTCCAATGCACTATGTCAAACGATACTAATTGTAATGCAAGATTTGCCATTGGACGAGACCTTGAAACCCGATCAACCCAATCTCTCCCCTCTCCTCTGCCGTGGAATGGCAGGTCTCAGTCCTCTACCTTCATACGACATGAGACGAAGCTCCCCTACGAAATACTCACGAGAAAGAGTTCTTGACATCGAGAAACACAGATACGACACCGATTCCGACGATGACTCCGACTACTCCTCATACCTGTCGTCCCCTGTATCGTCTCGAGATATTTCAGGCTCATACTCTTCGAGTCAATTGTTGGTGCCCAGGAAGCCTTCTACAGGCTCGCAGAGACCAGCATCATCATACAGACTGCCCAGCAAAATAGTCCGGTATTTATGTTGGGCTTTGATTTCAACCGTCATCATTTTCATATCGAGCCTGGTAAGAATGAGTATCATCTCGGCACGTAGAGTCGAGGTTGGAGATCTTGGAACGCGGCCACCACCACCTCCTGCGCCTTGGGAATCATTTCAGTTTTTGACACGATATTATGGCGGGATTCGGACCTTGTTGCCATTGTCGGAAAACCAACCCGAATACCCTCTACCAGAAGACGAACCTCCGCGTCCACAGGACACATCAGAAACAGCAATACGAGATATACCAACAAGCCAACCTTTCGAAGCGTATACGAATCAAACCTCGAAAGCATATTTGAGCGAATATGCACCCGTAAAGGAATGTTTTCTTGATGTACAATCTACAATTCGCGTTCCTCAGCTACGGTACTACCCAGGAAGACCTAGCGGGTTCCCAGACAATGTTGTGGGTTCCTACGAGCTACTTGGATTACCGGAAGATATCTGCTTTGAGCGATATGGTCGATTGGGTCCGTATGGTCATGGGTATAGTGTCAAACATGGAGGCACTGGAACTGGCCAGTATGGCGATACGGAAGGATCAGAATCGGTTTGGGAAGGGCGCGGGGAGACCACTAGTCAGATCGATTACAGGGAAGTGAACTGGGCGGATGCGCAAAGGAGATGCTACCAGGCAAATGCTGCGCGCTTTAAGCCAAAGCATCATCCCGAGGAGCCGCTGAATACGTTCTCGGTCATTGACCAAGAGGAAGCAGCTTTGCACCGACGAGATGAAACCGAAGGTCAACAAGATTCACAATTGAGCGGAACGTCAAAATCTACAGCAGCCTCGAAGAAGACGCTCCCCCGAACTGCAGTAGTAATCCGCTCTTTTGATGACCATGCGTACACAGAGGAAGGTGTATTGAATATCAGAGCGCTTATCTCTGAGCTATCTCTCGGATCAGGTGGAGAGTATGATGTCCATCTCCTTGTTGAGGTCAAGGACGAAGCTAGGCATCCCATCTGGGCAGATGCAGAGACCTACGAAGAGCATTTGAACGCAACTGTTCCCGAAGAATTTCGTGACATCGCAACATTGTGGAGTACAACGCAAATGCTTATGCTTTACCAAGGCATTTTCGATAAATTCACGCGGGGTCCTGATCTTCCAGTACACGGTTCTTATCGAGGATTGCAGATGGCCATGCAGCACTTTGCACACAAACATCCCGAGTATGACTTCTTCTGGCATTGGGAGTTAGATATCCGATTTACCGGACATTACTACAACTTGTTCTCTCAGCTTGATTCGTGGACCAAAGCACAGCCTCGAAAGGGTTTGTGGGAGAGGAATGGTCGATTCTACCTCCCATCTGTCCATGGGTCTTGGGAAGATTTCAAGCAGATGGTTCGGGTTCAAGTTGAGATGGGTACAAAGAGTCCTGAAGACATATGGTCCGGCATCCCAGGAGCGAAGAACGTGCCTCAAACGCCCAAAGGCGAGAAATCAATCTGGGGACCTGAAAGACCAAAGGAGTCTGATGATTGGTTTGAAACTGATAACGATCCAAAACCTCCGACTTCCTACGAGAAGGACAAATACACGTGGGGAGTTAACGAAGACGCTGACCTCATTACTTTCAACCCTATGTTTGATCCCGAGGGCAGCAGCTGGCTTCTCGGAGAAGACATCACGGGCTATAATGAGACCGATGGGCTCCCACCCCGTCGTGCTTCTATCGTGACAGCTTCGAGAATGTCAAAACGACTTTTGGACACGATGCATCGCGAGACAGCATTCAAAAAACACCATGCATTCTCCGAGATGTGGGGCCCAACTGTTGCCTTACATCATGGGTATAAAGCAGTCTATGCGCCTCATCCAATGTATGTGGACCGAGAATGGCCTACCGCATACCTTGCGGGTGTCTTGAATTCCGGAAAGAATGGTGCAAGTGGAGCTTCAAAGACTAGTGTGTTTGGTGAGCGGGAGCATAATTTAAGGGGCATGACGTGGTATTATAATGCTGGCTTTGCGCCAAATTTGTGGAAGAGATGGCTTGGGCTGAAGGTCAACAACGACGGAGGGGAAGAGTTCGAGTTGACAGTGGATGAAGGCAAAGATGGGAAAGGAGTGAATGGGGCGAGAGGTGGCGAGGGGAGAATGTGTCTTCCTCCTATGTTGATCCATCCTGTCAAGGGGCTCGAGTTGCCTGTGGAAGAACTTGTGGAGGAGAAGGATATTCCGGAAGGTGATCCTAGCGCTTGATATATATTGTTCGGTTTGGGAAGGCGTTCGGAAAGTCAGTATATATGGATATGGCGTTTATATCCGACTCGTGTATTAGGTGTATATACATTTACGGTATATATATTGGAATGAGAAATGTTAATTATGATGTTAATTGATCCTTTTGATAGTTTCTTGGTATTTTTCTGTTTGTAGTATACAGTGGAGTTATTAGGTATGGGACTTTTATAGTGCTTCGTCACTTCCAAGTCATACAACCCATAATACAACTCAGCCTCTCATGATTCCTCGGGAGACTTCCCGTCGCCCTCGTTATCATCATCTTTCTTCTTCGACTTCTTAAATTGCTCCTTCCCATCCGAAATATACGCCTCAACCTCCTGGCCCGCAAATTTCCTGCCGTTCATAACGCCCACGCACGCTTTCGCTGCCTCTCCATTGGTAAACCTGACGCTCGCAATGCCGTCTTTTTCTAAATCAAATAGAACGACATTCGTGACTTCCCCAAGTTTGCTGCACTCCTCACGTATATCTTCCTTGATGTCCAGTATGGCGGCTGAGTCCTCAGCTAATTCCTCGAGCGTGAACATGTGCTTCAGAATAACTACTTTATCCCATCGTGAGCTGGTTTCTACAATACTCGATACCTCGTCATCACTCCAATCCGCGAGGCGCGCATCAAGCTTCTGCGTTTTCTTGATGATCTTCTGCTTATCCCTCATACTAGTCTTCGCCTTCTCGGTCTGCGCATGTCCTACGTCGTTATGCTGCACTTTTTTATAACTCGATTCCGCGGCCTGGACTCTCATTTTCTCTCCTTCGCCCATCCGGAATTCCGTGTCGTCCAGTAGCATAATCGCCATATCCACCGACGGCGCCTTGAAGAACACTACCAGCGCATCGCCCTTGAACTCCCCTTGCTCGTTCGTATAGAGTTTTATCCGCGGTTTCCCACTATCGATTTCCTCTGCAATGACACCGCATTTCCGGGAAAACACATCCCGCACTTCCTCTATGCTGACATCTAGCGGCAGGCCCGTAACGTAAATCGCCGTATTTGCGCGCGGCGGCAGGGGAGTTTTCGCTTTCGCTTTCTTGGGGTTTTTGACTGCGCGCCCGCCTTCGTCTTCTTCGCCATTGACGTATTCCTTCTTGCGTTTTTTCTTCATGGCTTCCACGGGTTCGTTCTCGTCGACGCCGGAGACGCGGTAGGCTTTCTGCTGTTCTTCTGCCAGGGCTTCGTCGAGCACGGGGATCCAGCGGTGGATAGCATCGTCGAATTCGTATTCGGTGCCGTCGTCTTGCACGAGGAGGAATTTGGCGTCGAGCTTGGAGAAGGAGATGCGGTCGTCGGAATCGAATTCTGAGGGGTTGGTGGGGAAGTTGGAGGTTGGGGTTTCGAGGGGGGACTGTCTTTGCTCCATGGTTGGTGGTTGTTTGGGTGGAGTTGGGGGTGGAAGAAAGGTGTGGAGTAAACAGATCCCAAGCAATGAATTATCGGGCACGCATGCAGGTGGAATTCAAGGTGGGGATGCTGTTTATGCCTGAGGCAGCAATATTTCGCCCCTCCAAGATTTCAACATAGAAGATCTGTCAACATTTTTGAAGATACTTTGATTCGCAGGCAAAGATTGAATACCGGTATATAATAGAGGGCAGCTATTCCTGTCTACAGATCACGGGAAACCCTTAATTAAACCTTCGAGCTTCGCTTGGTGATAAACTTAAGCGAGGCACCCCCTTTGCTTGATATTAGGACTTATAAAACACTTCACGAATAAATATGTAGAAGTAATAAATATTTACTCGTAGGATAGCTAGGTATATAGGTAGGTTAACTATAGCCGCCGGGTGGGTAATTTGGAAGTGCTTCAGGTCCACTCAGCCGTAGGAATCAAGTTACTGACAGTCACATTAGGACTACGGTAGCGGGACAGGCCTTCTATAATTTCCACCACTATTTTCATGTGGCAGGAAGTGAATTCAAAGTTGATTTGTCATTTCAATGTCAGTGCAAGTTGCTCAGATAAATTGCTTGCTCGGTTCGATTCTGTTGTACTACATGTAAGTGGACATTTGCGACTAGACAGGTGTAAGCGATAACAAAAAATTTGATTGCGACAAAGATTATAATTCGTGACTTTTACATTAATCCAACAACAAGAATCAAAAGATTGGACTGATGAAACAAAAAAAAAAAGACAAAAAATTTAGTAGCAATGCCTGGTTTCGATCCAGGGACCTCCGGGTTATGAGCCCGGCGCGCTTCCGCTGCGCCACATTGCTTGCTTGAATGTTGCAAGTTGTGATTTTTTTGAAAGTAAATTGGCTATTTTGGTATATACGCAAGCTAAGTAAATTCTTAGGTTCTAGCGAGGACGCTTACGCCGGCCTAGGCCTACTAGGCCCTTAGCGTGTTTATCATAAGACCTAAGTTTTTAAGTAAAGTAGAACAGTATGTCACCAGTTTCAATATTCTACTTTATTCATATAAAGGAAAGCGAATACAAGCTAGTGTTTTTCGGAATAATATTGCCTTTTAGGTTGCTCTAATAAGTTTTTTACAAATTAATAAAGAACGGGATCTGCAGATTATCATCCGGCAGAAAAGTCCAACTCCTGTATTATATACACATAATATAAAGCAGGTATGAGAACTACAATTCACCTCCACCTACTATAGACATTTTTTGGATAGCAGGGATCCTAGAATTTTATTAATTCGCAACGCAGAAAACACGGCCAAGGGAATAATATAGCCAGAAAACAGCTACTTACCTCGTCGAAAGCGGGAATATAATATGGGTCCTCGTCTTTCCAAGTATCCAGATCGTGTCTTTTCCTGCACCATGCACATCGCACATTACCATTTCTTGGTGGTCTTTTCCCACAAGGACACCAGAACTATAATAATTGATTATTATATACGCAATAATAGGAGGGGCTCTTAAGCAGGTTTAATGTAGCTTAAGAGGAGGCTCAATGAACTTACAGCTCGCCGATCAACGTGGTCATCAAGACACATACCGTCTTCCAGATCTTGGTCCCATGCCCAATTCCCCTTCGTAAGATTTTCATAATAGAGCCAATTAATTTTGGCCTCTTTGACTTTGCAAACTAGACATATCCACCGCGTATACTGATCACAGTCACAGTATTTCGAGAGCGATAATGGAAGACCAGCCTCGACACCCCCATCGCATGCTGGGCAATAACAAATTACATTGCGGCTCATCATTGCAGGGTCATTTTGAGGTCTCCGATAGCTGGAGCGATACAGGGGGGCGTCTCGAACGCGGGGAACATATCGACATTCCTGAAATGATACGATACTTAGTACTATTTACATATATGGGTGGTGCGGGGTTCAGGAGAACTAACCTCACAAACATTAATTCCACAACTCAAGCAAGGAAGCGCATTTGCGGCATCGCACTTGATGTTCCAAACGCGTACTTCAAGCTCTTCGTCATAATGCGCTTTCCTGCCCTTCCCCATCACAAAGTCCTGGGGGCGCAAGGCATAGTAGATGCCTTGAAAGTTTTGACGCGCTGTGAGACCGGTTCCGTCACATAGGGCTGTGAGTTTTAGACGGTTGAAAATGGGCGTAGAGTGAAGAATAATGGCATGGAAACTGGAGTTCGCTAATCCAAGATGAAGGAGGTCAAGAGTGCTGAGATATTCGGCAGTCTTAGTTAGGATGTTGTATTGTGATAGCAAGGATAAAAGGCTCGACATATTCTCAAGACGTTAGAAACAGATTTGAAGGCTATTATTATTAGATGTCAGATATATTTATAGACTTACCATTTGCCAAGGACTATACCTGTTTGGGAAGGCGGTATCCGGGCGCCCAGTCCAGTGCACCCCAGATTTACTCGAGTATGATCCATGTCTTAAAATGAAATTGCGGACTAGCTCCTAACATTCTATGTTCCCTCTCCTCTTACACCCGATGAGCCTCTCCCGCTAGCTAAGATATTTATCATCCACTCTTACCCCCGATAAGCCTCTCCACTAAGTTCAGGATATACCCGATTATGTGCCTATCATCTAATAAGATAAAATCCTAGGTATTCTTAATCTTTCACGTTTCAAATTGTTAATGATATATGGTAAGATTGGTTATTCCGGACTTATTGGTAATTTTTTAAGCTTCCTACAACTCTTACACACTATACCTCTAATATATATGGTCTGTGAAAGTCTTCAACCATAGTTATCAAAGCTTAAAGCCACAAGGTACTCTTATACACATTATCCAGTTCTGTTGTCAGCCTCTCGCAAATCGAATGAAATGTCAGCCTCTTCAGATTTTCCGCCAACGCAGCAGTCTCTTGTTAATGAGACGGTCGCAGGATCGACCACAGCCAAGTCTTCCAATAATAGTTTAGAGAAGGAGGAAGGTCAAATTGATACCGCACCTGAGCCCTCTAATCATGAAGCCCAACTAGAGACAAAGGCTGTGACTGGATCGAAATGGGTCTTCATCTATATAATGGGAGATCGAAAGGTCATGGCCAAGGCTGCCCTAGAAAGCAACATACGTCCGATTAGAGAAAGCTCTACTGCCAACACCCAGGTCAGCGTCCGGTAGAAAGTCGTTTTCAAGAAGTGTAAGTGCGCCCCCGGATTTTGACCTCTCGTCCGTAGCTCCGCTATAACCAATAAACGACTTGCTTTACAACAATCTGTCTACACTAGGCGAAACATATTTTCTAGAGCTATGGTTGGCAAATATAGCTGGGGCTGAAGCATTGGATCCCAATGCAACATGTGGGGTAGAGATGTGGCGGTTTGATGGCGATATTCGCGTTGATAGCCTTTAGGGACTTATGAATGATCATAATTCTTAATCTATGATCGGGTTGTCGACAGTTGAATTGGCGTGCTCTATGGGTGGCATGGCATGTTGAGCAGTCCTTTGTTTGGTTTCTGTAGTAGCAAAGTCACATTGCAACGTTTGCGAGCACCACTTATCAGGGCGATACAGTAAATGCCCCGCGTGGTGATTCTTTTAGGGGCGATATTATTGATTTTTGGTACAAATTTGACAATTTCTGTAAACCACGCAGTGTCTCTACCAGGTTCTACATTAAAAGGATATGTTTTCAAGGTTGCAACGCCTCTCTTTCAAACCGCCGACGACATCGAGCAAAACATGATAATTAGAGTAAAACGCAGAGAGGGGTTTAAAGAAATTCACTACAGCTGAAATATCACAAGGTAGAGTCATATCAGTGGATAAAAGTAGAGTAGAACAATAGAGAATAAGCGTAACGAGCTATCCAAAACCCAGTCAAAGTTGGCAGACTTCGATGTACTACCTATGTATCCTTGAATGAAAGACAAACAAAGGCGAGAGGTTGCCTTTACCAGACAACGGACAACGGGAATCTCGTATCTAGAAAATCCTTGCCGCTTTCCCATCTACTAGCTCCCTTGCAAACGCCTCGAACGATCGGGGAACAAAGTCGGGATATAGATCTCTAGCATCAAGATACCCTAAGTACTTCGCGTACTCGGGAGAGTTATCACCGCGAACGAACATACTATAGGAATATTCTAGGCCGATAACAGTCATAGCTTGCTTCATATCGGAGAGGTTGTATTTAAAAGACGCCTTGATAGCGTCACAGAGGGCGAGGAGTTGATCAGGACTGACCTGATCGGCAAAGTATAGTCAGTAGTCTTCGTTCATTCGTTTAACCACGCATAACAGGGTTCAAAATGCAAAGAGAAAATCAGGAACTGGGCGTACAAATTCTCTCTCAATCTTCTCTCCCGAAAGCTCCTCCATTTTGGCGAATAACCCATCCTGAGATAGAAGCTCTCCGTAACAGAAAACGCATTTATTCAGGGTTCGGCTATCGGTCATACACCTAGCAACATACGGACCGATATCACGTAGATCAGTAAGTGCAGTCTTTATGTTTTTATCGCCAGAGATCGTCATATTGGGAACCAGCAGGCTGGCATAATCTACACGTCCAGAAGACAGTGTTGGGAAGGAGGCTTGGTACCAGTATCCTACATCGATGAGTTTGTACGAAAGTCCAAGCTTGCGGAAATGTTGGTAGATTTGTTCTTTCTATTATACATAAACGATAATTGATATTATGACTGAATGATATACATACCTGATCACGTATCCACATAACGCCGCCGGGCGGGCAAACAGTTATAAAGGCACAAGGCACGAATCTTTTAACGTCTGCTTTCTTTGCCGCATCGGCGAGAGGGATCTGTTCCAACTGTGCACCTGGTCCGATGGCACTAATAACGGTGTCTATACCGGCTAAGATACTAGCAAGTTGAGGATCATCTTTAATCTCGCCGAAATGAATCTTCACACCACGGTCTTTGAGTTTCAAGATAGTCGGGTTGGCATTTGATGCGGGACGTATGAGTGCCTCGACATGCTAGAAGATATTATATCAATGCGGTGTATGATAAGGTCGGGAATTGTATCTGCCCACGGTCTTGCCATCCTCAAGAAGGCTGTCAACGATAGTGCCTCCAGTACGTCCGGTCGCACCCACTACCAGAATTCTTGGTTTTGACATTTTGCCAAATAGCGTAGTGAATTTGGAAGATCTGAAAAGGTGCCTGAACTTTATTGAATTTTCCCTCAATTCGAGAACTAATGCATTTATATACATACTTCGACCGATTTTTGTGAGTTCGCACTATTGCAAGCAACAACGGAGAATTTGGCGGACAAAGCACGACACGGAAATCCGTGCTCACACTGAAACGCGTTGACATCTCCTACTCTAGCGTACTTCTTCGGGCCATGTCTAATTTGAACTCTCCATTGAGTCATTCATGACACTAACAAATACGGGAGGCATACAGTGAACAAAGTGGGAAGTCATTATGGAACGCCAGCGCCCGACCACAATACAGCCGGAGCTCATGTGTCCACTCTGCAGCAGAAGTTTCCAAGCCCGTAAGTTCCTTCTCCCCGTTCATCTTACGAACCATATTCGTTCGCTATCTGTTGATCATTGAGCCATCCTGACGGTGCCCAAGACAAGCAGACTACCCGTCATATCCGTTACTGTCGGAAAAAAGCCAAAGATGGCATGTCGTCCACACGTCGGAGATCATGCGTTGCATGCACCAAGGCTAAGACTCGCTGTAGTATGAACTTACCAGGTTGCTCAAGATGCACCATCAAGGGTCTTCAGTGCATTTACAACTCTTCTAATACAACATCCAATTTAGGGGTGCAAGGCGTCCCCGCGGACGAACTTGTGCCTGTTGTCCGTCAGGTAAACACAGCCCTAGCTCACAATGACCACCCCGAGCAAAGAGGCTCTGGTAGCAATGTCAATCCGATTTCCGCTAGACGAGAAAACTCACTCCGTGAATCCTCCAGGCATCTCGTTTCAGGAAGCAGCTTTGACTCTGTCCTACCTGCCGAAACGTGGGTAGACTTGCAGTCGAATGCAGGAATCGGAAATGTGGATGGAGCTGCATTCTCGGGTGGGATGATAGACCTCATTGCGTCGGACACTCTCTCTTGAAACTCTCCATGTGGTGCTTCCCTTTTACCCCAGATTTATCATTTCAAGGATCGAGTCGTTCTGGGCTGCTACTACGTTGTTGATATCTCGCCATCATTTGTCCCATTGGACACGAAGACTATACTAGAGAAACGAGATCTCAAAGCAGGGCATACTGTATGAGCACATTGAAGTCGTACCTTGGAATGCTGTATGGTAATAATGGAACGCTCCCCCCTTTTATTCACCTCCAATCTCGGCCGTCTCTCTGGGAAACGAACTTGCAGTCTGTCAATGATCATGAAGTAGCGCTACCTGAGCCGCTTGCGATTTGCAGCAGTATTTTGCAGATGTATAAGGCAAGAACTCCTGGAAAGATAGCTTTCATTTGGAGGACTATTCAAGCGGAGTCACAGCACTCGAAGATGAGGTTAGTACTATGTTCTAGAACTCTTGATCCTTGTCTGAAAGAAACAGTATCGGGATTATGATGCCTGGACTACGCTTCACCCCATTCAAGCTATGGCCATGTATATTATTCTGGGTCTACTAGGCGATAACAGCGAATATGTTGTAGAGGGGCACATACTTGTACCTATACTTAGTACAACGAAAGTCAGTACTAAAAGCTTTGGAATAATCAAGAATAATAAAACACTAATGCATCCCTTCTAGAGAATGGCTAATAAATATCAATCTCTTGGCTGGATGTGCAATGGAGAGACCCAGCAAGGCCAGGTCCCAGTTTGGGAGGAGTGGGCTCTGGCCGAGTCTCGCCGACGGTATTTCACTTTCATCACATATAGTCGACTTGAGCCTCATCAAGCTAACATATATCTTCAAATCAATAGTACAGCGATTGTTCTCGTAATCATTATTCATATATTCAATATTGAGCATGGACATGGCTTGCCGCAATGTGGTGGCTTTTTCGATCTATCATTGCCTTGCAGCAAGACGTTATGGGAGGCATTAGATCAAGCAACGTGGGAAATAGAGTATTGCAAGCAATACATGCGAGATAGCAAGTCCGGCCAAAACTTGAAGATAATTCCGACGTATAAAGATCTCTTGCCAGATCTTCAAGAGCAAAATGACTCGGCTAGCGCTTTAAAGGGCAGAGTGTCTTAATTAGTAAATGGTTCTTAGGTATGGACGAACTAGGGACGTTAGTAACGGTGGCTGTCTCAGCACTATAATCTTATCTGATTTATCTACAGATCGAAGCTCGAGCTTATAGTATTAACTTTAAACCCGCTTTTATAGTCTTAGAGCAGATATAACTTAAGATTAAAATAGTAGGCGAATTTATAGAAGTAATTACAGCCGTCAGCTTTAATATTAAATATATATATATATGACCGCCATCAACTGACAAGGCGTAAGGTGAATTTGCGAATTGCGGACTTTAGACGGACCAGGTATAAAAGATCGCAATTATAAAAGTGCGAAATCACTGACCGGAATGACCGTGAACAGTAAGCGTAAGGGCCTCGTAATCATCGGTCTGCCGGCTCAAGCAAGGCCGATGAACATATCGCGGCATATACTGCACAATACTGTACTGTACTATACTGTAAATTCCAACCTCCCCCCTCCCCACCTCTGCTTATGTAGTAGGTAGATAGATACAGCCTTCTTGGAGGTGAGTTTGTGAATCATTGTGAGCAATCACAGCTTGGAGTACTCGGTACAAATTAGAAGAGCGCCCGCACGAGCCGCGAAATCGGCGCTAGCTCCTAGAAGAACCACCCTACCTACCTGGGTATAGCGCCTCTTCAGAAGACGTCGACCTTATAGCAAGCTGCAATGCCAACTCCGGGCGGGACTACAGCCAGATTTCTTTTAGATGCTTATTTTACCAACCACCGATTGAAAAGTCTGCGAGCTCACTTAGGTGTGTCGATAGACAAGTAGTCGATTAAGCAAGCAATGAAACGCTGATTCACGAACATTCTACGGTAGGATTGGGAAGAAGGCTTTTTCCCATTGATGAATTGTGTAGTTCTAGGTAACTACTAAGTATTAAGGCAACCTGTCATAGCTCTTTCTTCAACCTTCCAAGCCAAGAAGTTCCGTCGCATCTTAGAACCAATGCGACCAACTGCGAGAGCCGCAGTTCGTCTCGTCTCTTCTACCGCACTCCGAACGCACTCGGAGTCAGAATCCGAGCTATCCTTACTTGGGAATTGCGAAGGCCGCAGTTTGTCTACGTCAAGGGGAAGTTTCAACACATCATTGGCTTGAAATCAATGGAGCTACAATTTATCTGTTATTCGTACTACGGAGAAAGAGAAAGCGTGGATGTATTTTACCTTGCTTGCTGACCAGGTGCATATAGAAAACCTTAAAGATGCAAGGAAGTTGACATCTTCGCCTCTCAGATATTGAAAGAAGCCTGTTCTAGGAAGATGAGACTGTGTATATCAAGGTCGCAAACCCTTCCTTGACACTTTCTGGTCTCTAGCCTCCATCGTACAGTACTTCACTCCAAGTTTTCAACCACGGTTTGGTTTTCCCATACAGTGACAATAAGATGCGATTCGCAGGTCTTCGTCCACTGTCTATCCAGACATTTCTTCACATCTCATCCCTCCTCTATCAAATCCGAGTCCAAGCCCACTCTACAAGCTGCAAAGCAACACCAAACGACGTGTCCTGGCCAAGCCTTTCCCAATGGGCCACCCTTAACCAGACCCTATCCGGGCGCCTGATACACGGCGTCCCACCTGCTACCGCCTGCCACTCTTCAGGCCCGGGCTTCAATGCCAGCTGCGTTGAGATCGAGGCCGCGTGGAGTAGCTTCACGTTCCACCAGGACAATCCCGTTAGCTCGGCGTGGAATAATATGAATAACGATTCATGCCTTCCCGACCCCACTGCGCCATGTAGTGCAGCCGGATATCCAATTTATGTAGTCAATGTCTCATCGGCGGATCATGTCAAACTCGCGGTCGATTTTGCGAGGGCGAATAACGTGAGATTGAATGTCAAGGCCTCTGGGCATGACTATCTGAAACGGTAAGTAGATCAGATAATTTCAAATGTCCGTCCTTGGGAAGGGAAGGGGAGGGACAAGACTGACTCAAGAGAAAACAAAAAAATAGATCCACGGCTCCCTATTCCTTATCTATCTGGACTCGATACATGGTCGGCAACTATGAATTCCACGACACGTTCCAACCACAAGGCTGTTCCACAACCATAAACACTACCGCTGTGACCGCCGATGCTGGTTCATATGTCGCTGATATATATCATCGCCTTGATCAGCACAACCAGACACTCATCGATGGGATGGGGAAGGAGGTCACCATGGGTGGCTATGTGACCGGCGGTGGCCACAGCCCTCTCTCACACATGTACGGCCTTGGCGCTGACCAGGTCTATCAGGTTGAGATGGTGACACCGATGGGTGACATATTGACCGCGAATGAGTGTCAGAATACTGACCTTTTCTGGGCTGTTCGCGGGGTACGTACCGTCTCACAATGCTTCAAATCATTTTGAAAAGCTGTACTAATGATACATTCCAGGGCGGCGGGAGCACCTTCGGTGTCCTCACAAGACTCACCGTCCGCACCCTCCCAGCCACTCCTATCGCGGTATACAAATTTAGCCTCCAAACCGCAGTAAATTCCACAGTCTACTGGGAGATAATGTCCTATTTTCTATCCCAACTGCCCGCCCTCTCCACCGCGAACGTATCAGCCTTCCTATACCTCTATCCCTACCCGGAAATCATGCCCAGCGAAGGCTTAGACCCCAAGGCATCCTTCGAAGGCATCTTCACCCTCCCCAGCCCCAGCGTCCCAAATGCACTCGAAGACCTATGGTTGCCCATATATTCGCACATTAATGCGACATGGGCTGACCAGACCACCACGCAGGCGACATCTACCGTCTTCCCGAATCTGTACAGTATGTTCCTGCAGTACGCAGACGACAGCAGGGCGGGCGTGGACAAAGTTGTTGGGTCATGGCTTCTGCCTCCCGAGATACTAACAGAGGACGCAATGATGCCCGCTCTAGTGGATTTTTTGGGGGAGGCGGGGGGGAGGCTGTATATGGTTTCAGGGATGGGGGTTTGGGATGCGCAGCCCAGAGGCGGGAGCGACGCCGTTAATCCTGCTTGGAGGAAGGCTTTGATTCATGCTGGTACGTTTGAGCTAGGCTGTGTTGTGGCTATTTAGAGGGACTAGTGGATGCTAATGGATACGGCTACAGTGACATCTCAAGAATGGACACCCCGAAATCATACGCAGCAAGCTGCGGTAGAGTATAGCGTCAATCATATTCAGACTGAGGCGTTGAGAATACTGGTTCCGGACTCGGGTCCCTATATCAATGAGGTATGTCTTTCTTCCTTCCCTTCCTTCCCATATTTCCCTTCTCCTCAGCCACCATGCAATCCAGCGTCTCCATAAATGCAGGAGTCTTCTGATGAAGTAAACAAAACAGGCTTACTGGGATGAACCGGACTTTCAACAAGCATTCTGGGGTTGCAATTACGAACGCCTGCTGCAGATCAAGAAGGCAGTTGATCCGGATGATGTTTTTTGGTGCCATGTTTGTGTGGGGAGTGAGGGGTGGGAGATGGTAGGGAATTCTTTGTGTCGGGTGTGATATAAAACAGGAAAGGGGAAGGGGGGAAGGTCGGATGTTATTTGTGGATAAATAGTGATTTTGAAGATGTTACTATCTGTGTGTCGGAACATTGATCAGCTTGACTCCTTTATACATTCTGTACAGCGTAGCTTCCGCGCGCACCTTATATATATTATAGAAGATAAGAAAGAGTGTCTTGATTTTTATAGGTGAATTATAGAGACTTCGGAGCTATGCTCCGCGACGATGGTGCAATATTAGCAGGTAATAAGATAGATAGTCTGGATAGATAATCGTGTTATATAGAAGTGGTTGTCTGTTGTGAACTTGAGGACTACAAGTCAAGTCATTCCCACAAACTTGAAGGCTGCCCTAGGTAAGCGGATAATTATAAAGCACGGAAGTACGGATACGGATACGGAGTCATCAACTCACGCCTGCGTCATCATGACACCTGTTGAAATAGGTAGGTCACAAAGATGATCGTTATAACTTGACGCTAGTAGAAGACGAGAATTACATATATCTTGAAGTCTGTAGAGTAAAGACCGAACCGAAGGGTAGAGTTTTACATTTATTCGAGTACCTCAGTATGGTCTGTACGCTTATGTAAGCAGCTAAATTCAACCACTAGAACAACCAGAACACCTTCCTTAATTTCGTCTTTATGAACATTATAGAAGACATTCCAAAGCTTTTATAAGGAAGCAGTACATGAAGCATCTTTATGAATAGAATTAGCTTAACTTCACCGAGGTCTGGGTCCTCACCCGACTTGCGATATGCGGGTCGGGCGAAGAGTTGCACTCGCTGCCGCCAGGCCAAACTTGCCTGTGATGCGCGAAGAGCCGTGAATGGGCTATGCTCGAGGTGCGAATCGAAGAAGCTCGACTGTCGATTTGATGCCAATTTCAAGCGCGTGTCTACAAGAAAGTAAGTCAATGGAAAGATAGGCCTTTGCGGTCCTATCAGCATTTGCATGATTCTGACACAGACATGACAGACTTACAGACGAGATCAGTCACGGGCTTCATGCGTTACGCTCCACGGAGCAGCCGCATATTCCAGAAAGCTTTACTTCGAAGCCCACACAAACGCGTGGGATGGCTAGGAACAGTATATCATCGAAGATTCGGCAACAATCACCTGTTGCAGAGCTCGTGGTATCTGAGCCTCCCCTTGAGGGGCATGTACTGTGGGTCGATATCACAGAAGTCGATCGGGCCCAATCCTACACCTTAGGAAAACTTACTCTAGAGTCCCAAACTGTTATTGAACTCTTTCAGCAGTGCGTATTCTCACGCATTATATGTCAGTACTATGGCTAAAACTGCTCTACAGTTTTGGCGTGCACTACTATCCTTACGCCATGTTTCTGCAACCCTGTGTTTCTGTATCAGAGCTTATTACCAGATCGCCACTGCTTTTTTGGACCATCATCCTAGTGGCCGGTCAAGACCACGCCCGCTTTGCGACCATATACCAGCAAGTAGCTACCGAGCATAAGGGACTGCTTTCTCCGATTATCCATGGAGCCATTCAACACCTCGAAACCATCCACGCATTACTGCTTCTCTGTTTGTGGCCTATTTCTCAAGCGACACATTTTTCCAATCCAGCTTGGAATTATGTGGGGCTCGTAATTAATGCTGCTATGCAGTTGAACTATCATAGTCCCCTTAGGCCAAGGAGTCAGACCCACGGGTGGAAAGGCCTTGGCGATGTCGCTGTATGCGAACTAAGCGCTCAAGACCTGTCTCAGACGTGGCTGGGATGTTTCTGGGTAGGGACTGTGTGAGTTTCAACATAAGTGGTTATCATCCAAGGTTGCTGATCGAATCGTAGAATTGCCGCCTTTTACGGATTACCCCCGCCAATGTCGACCCAGCAGCAAATGAGATCTATTGACAAAGCGCTTGATATCATCTTTAATTCCATTCCCTCGTGGTGGTGTACCCTTTTTTCCATTATCAAGATCACGAACTCGTTCATGGATACTCTCGGCAGCATTGAAGACCATGCTTTGCATTTCTCACTTACGCAAATGTTCGACAAGCAGCTAGATGACCTTAAGAAATCAAACACCGCCTTGTGGAAACCAAAACTCGAGATCGAATGGTGTAACGCTAAACTGTATCTCTATGCTCTAACCTTCACGATCCCGACTAGTTCAAACCCATCCTCTAATATACAATTGCAAATTCACCGCCAAGAAATCCTCTACAAAGCACTCGAAGCTGCCTCAAAACTCATCACCGAGCTGACGATACTAGGCCAGCAGGGCACATCAGACTTATATCCCAGCGGCCTGCTTAGTTTCGTTCCAAAGCCATATTTCACGGCGCTTTTTAATGCAACGACCTTCCTATTCCGCTTCATGGCCACCTACACCACGCACACGCCCGCGCAAGAAATTCGCGCAATGGGCTGTATCATCGAAGCACACAAGATATTCCACTCATTCCCTGAACAGCGAGAGCTTACCCGTGCTGCTATTCATATCGAGACGTTCATCGATCTTCTCCGAGGCAATAACACTAGTGTCAACATGAACGAGCTCGCGGTGAAAAATAAATTAGGAGCATCGGTTATGTTTGATGCCGTTTTCCAAGCGTGCCGTCAGAGAAATAGGGATTCAAGGACTGGTGAGGTCCTGGCCGTAAGGGAGTGGAAAACTCTCAACGAGACTTTTGCTCAGAGACTACCTCCTGCTCCGATTCAGCAGATGGGCGATGAACTTGAAGATGGGACTCTCGGAGGCGGGACTAGTGAAGTGGATTCCCTGAATCAGTCAATGATCGGTGAAGTGCAGAATCCGCAGTGGTGGGAGGAATGGGAGAGTTATATGAATCTCTTTCAAGTGGATGCTGAGAGTGTGGATATGTCTATGAATAGTAATCAACTAGGCGAGCTTAGAGGTTTTATATATATGTGAGATTATTTTCTATAATAGTCTATTTATTTATTTATTTATTCTATTAATATCTTATATAAGTCTAAGACTATATAGGACGGCGCTAGCCTAATGCTAGAGCAGTCAAGTGAATGTATCTATATAGATAATACTATATATATCCGATTGAAACACATACGCGATGCACAAGGAGATATTAACACTGCTACAACTTTTGCCACAACCGTCTAAATCGAACGATCGCGCCAGCATATTAACCGCCTTGATCTCAGCTTTCTTTTAAGCCTACCCCCGTGGTTTTTACTAGGAAAATGA